TTCGTCGTGACTCACCAGCAAAAGCAAGCAAGCAACCCACGGTTCTTCACCACTCATTGTTTTGTCGGAGCGTAAGCATACCGGTCGTGCACTCGCATAACTCTTCAAAAACTCTTTTCATTGTTCAAAATTCGGTAAAATGGCGCGCCGGTTAGTGTTTGCGATTCTTTTCCTGCAAGTGGCCCTCCTGGCGACGGGGCAGGACGAGACCACCACCGAGATGGCCACCAAGCCCACCACCCCCTCAACCACCACCGTGGAGCCCACGAGGGCTACCCCGAAGAGCTCTACCAAGCCGCCGGTGATCCACAACGCGCTCAACGCCTCTGAAACCATTACCAACACCACCAAGAAGGTGGAGAAAAACGCCGCTTCGGGGGTCACACAGCACTTTGTGATAGTGGCGGGTCTTGTGATGATAGCAGCCAGTGCCATTTAAGTTTTCAGACTTTGAATATATGCCTTATTAGAATTTAGTTCGTTTTTTAATGGAAAATTATCAGAACACTACCATGTGATAAATTTTGGTATTTCACTAATCAAATGTAAATTCTCACCAAAGAATAAATTGTGTACTTAAATTATATTTTAGTATTATTGTGAAACATTGTATCTGCGTTTTAAAATCGATATATTTAAATAATATAACTGTACAAATGTAAAAAACGCTTCTCAATTATACTATATTCAAGAATTTCAATTTTTATCACAACTAAAGAAACTTGTTACTTATTTTTTCATTTAAATAATTAGGTAATTGTTTTTAATAAGAAATTACACCGAAGGTAAGTTCCAGAAGCGCGTCTCAATTAAAATTAAACACCAAATTCAATTTCGTGACACCCACGACTCTCATAACTATCACGAGATAAAGTAAATTAACATTATCAATTGTATTTGGAACAAAAATTTCGTTTGTGACCTCATTTAAATCATGTGGGAGACTTTTTTTTGTTTTTACACGAAAGTCAAAATGTTTGACATAGTTGCGGATTCTTCAATTATGTTTTTATTGATTTAGAAGAAAAGTTGATAATTTGACAAGTTTAATCAATATGTAAATGAATCTTATTACATAATAATTGGAAAATTTCCGCTTTCAAATGAACTGGAAGTGACTCTATAAACAAAAACAAATCGTCTTTACTGGTTTTTAAATTATGCATGACCACAAAATCTTCTTATAAAAGTATATAAATATGTATAAAAAAACTCCTACTATTTTTATTCAAATTTGCGGTCAGTCTTTTATTTATTTTTAGTGTGTTGTCAATTGTATTTGAAAGATGTTTACTGTGTAGTGTTTGTAAATTATGAAGAATAGAATGTACATTTAAAAATATACTCATCCAAAAAATATTGTTATTTTTTATATGTATCGATTCAAGGACCATGCAGGGTGATTTTAAGGTATGTGCAAATATTTTAACAGGTGATAGTAGAGCTCAAAAGAAGTCAAATAACTCAACTTGCCTTATCCCAATGTTTGTAGATTTTGAAATACACTCTGAGATTAATTAAATCTTCAAAATCTATTAGGCACATTGTTTAAAAAAAAACTGAGTTAAAACTAGCAGAAATAGCCACACAAAAAAGGTCCTCATCTAAAAAAATATCATAAAACGGTATTTTTGTTAAAGATATCACCCAATTTCATTACCTCAAATGTTACCGATTACTAGCAATGTAAACTTTGGGAAAAAGTACCCAAAAAGTTCAAACTTCGTTTATATTGCATTTTTTTTACAATTTTTTCGATACTAATGTGGAGGTTGCACCCTCTATATCTCAGAAACAATAAACATTAGGATAAGGCAATTTAGTTGTTTTGACTTCTTTTGAGCTCTCATGTGTTAAAATATTTGGACATACCTTAAAATCACCCAGTATGTGTGGTGCTACCTAGCGTGAAGTAGTTCAATTGTGAAAATCATGTGCGATTCCTGCTTTGAAGGAATGTATCAAATTATTCAAATCATCGATTACGATGGCATAAAAATAAAATAATCTAAAATGAAATTCTTCACTTTATCCAAAACTACAATACTATAGGTATTATTCTAACATTATTATTGTTCAGCCGAATTTCCAAATTGTTCAAAAATTACTAATGTTATACTTATTAATAAATTATGTATTGTAAAATATAGGTACTTATTAATATTGTGGCATTTACTTGGAAAAGATCGATTTTTTATGTGACTTTGTATTATAATAAAGCCACGGTTTTTATCAACACAAAATAAGGTGTTTTTCAACTTTCCGATGACTGTCGGATTGTGGAAACCTTTCTAGTTCTAATAAATGATGTATAAATTTAAAATGGGTTTATAAAACATAAAACAGTAGATTAGTCAGTTGTTTAAAAATCTATATATATAAAGAGGCTTGTCCTGACTGACCTATCAACCCACAGCCTAAACCGCTGGAGACAGAAATTTCAAATTTTAACAGTAGATACCTTTTATAACGTAGGCATCCAATAAGAAAGGATTTTTGGAAAATCAACCCCTAAGAGGGTTAAATGGGGAGGGGAATTCGAAGTTTTAAAGCTATAGCCATGAAAATAGGTATTTAGGCTTTCAGTTAAAAATAAAAAAATACGTATTTTACAATTTTTGGAAATTTCACCCCCAAGGTGGTTGAACAAGGGTAAAAGTTCGTAAAATATTTGTATTTTTTTTAAAGTCAAATTCATGAAAATTGGTATTTGGGCTCTCAGTTAAAAACAAAAAAACACGTGTTTTAGGATTTCGGAAAATTTCATCCCCAAAGAGGTCAAACAAGGGATGAAAATTTGTATAAATATTTATAAATTCGTCATTTTTGAAGTTATATTTATGAAAATTGGGATTTGGGCTTTCGGTTAAAAATGTTTTAGGATTTTTGAAAATTCCACCCTCTAGGGGGTTAAACAGGAATGACAATTTGTATTAAAATATGTCATTTATAAAGTTAAATCCTTGAAAATTTGTATTTAGGCTTTCGAWTAAAAATCAAGTAATACGTGTTTCAGGATTTTTAAAAACTTCACCCTCAAGGGGGTAGAACAAGGGTAAAACCTCGTAAAATATGCTTTTTTTTAACTTAAATCTATGAAAATTGGTATTTGGGTGTTCAGTTAAAAAGAAAATAGCACGTGTTTCAAGATTTTGGAGAATTCTATCCCTAAGGGGTCAAAACAAGGGATGAAAATTTGTATAAATATTTATAAATTCGTCATTTTTGAAGTTATATTTATGAAAATTGAGATTTGGGCTTTCGGTTAAAAATGAAGAAACACGTGTTTTAGGATTTCTGAAAATTCCACCCTCTAGGGGGTTAAACAGGGATGACAATTTGTATTAAAATATGTCATTTATAAAGTTAAATCCTTGAAAATTTGTATTTAGACTTTCGATTAAAAGTCAAGTAATACGTGTTTCATGATTTTTGGAAATTTCACCCTCAAGGAGGTTGAACAAGGGTAAAATATCCGTTTTTTTTTAAGTTAAATCTATGAAAATTGGTATTTGAGTGTTCAGTTAAAAACAAAATAGCACGTGTTTCAAGATTTTGGAGAATTCTATCCCTAAGGGGGTCAAATAAGGAATGAAAGTTTGTATAAATATGTATAGTTAAACATAGAATGAAAATTTGTTTCAAAATTTGTCATTGTTAAGTAACATCCATGAAATAAGACTTAAAATTTTACGGTTTTTAAATAAGTTATAAAAGACGGACTTTTTATTTTTACTACGAAGTTCATAATAAATTATGTGTTGCTACATTTTGTTAGTAAGTTTCTTAGCCCTTCTGCGTTTTGAAATAGTTGTGCATGTCAAATTACCACGCGAGCGAAGCCGCGGGCAACAACTAGTATAGTATAATATGATTAGAGCTAGTTTTTTGTCGAGTAAAATAATAAATGCAATCTTTGAACATTTAATTTCAAGCTAATTCCTTTCAACGTCCTTTTCGTGCCGAGAGTTTTTTTAAATGCATAATATGTATTGTTAAAAGGTTTTTGCAGCAAATTCTGTATCGACCAAAAACGATTTTATTTGGAACACATGTATTATGCACATACATAATTATGTAGCCTAAAGCTGTTATCACAAAAGTAATAGGACACTAGTCCACCCACAACGTACCAATAAGCTTTCAAATAAATTTCTTATCAATGGTGTATGTGACTAAATAAAAAGACAAAAAATACTAAAATTGTCATATCTCATATATTCTCTCTCTCTCTCTCTCTACAACACACGCCACATTAATCAGAAATTGTTTGATAGCACGGTATATTTTTTTATTAAGTAGGCTTCATAGAAAACTCACGTGGTACATTCACAAACTATACAGGCTGTTAAAAAAAAGATTGTAAAATATTTAAGGAGATAATAGTATGGACCAAAATAAACAAAAAAGTCTTAATAAACATGAATCCACAAACTAAATTTTCCAAGGCATACTTGACTATTAAAAACTATAAAATTACGTTAGAAATTAGTCTTTAACCAAGTAGGGCTGAATCCCAAAAAATTAAAAACTTAAATCGAGAATTTTCTGTTGTTTTATATTTATGGATGGCAGTGGCTGTACTTAGGTTACGTTCTGGAGTATTTGGGGTGATTTAATAACGCGAACTCAATGTATGGCGTTTATTCACAATAAAAATAGGGTCATGTCACTTAGACAATTATGTGACGTCCCGTCGACGACTTGCTTAAGACTCTCTCGGTCTTCCGACCGCTTTTTCCCAAAAAACGTTTCAGGGTGGGGGGTAGTCCCGACCATATCTTGGGGATACAGCCCCGGTCAAGATACTTAACATCTGTTTTACAGGAGTCATTTCACCCATCCGGGGACACGCTGTATAACCAGTATTGCATTTGAAGCAAACATAATCAAAAATTAGTGATTACATTTGAGTCGTAAAAAATATTTCACTACGTTATTAGAATGTTTTTGAGTCGGTACGGTTTGGTTTCTGTTCTCAGAAAGAAAAACGCATATGATAAAAAGTATAAACTATAAAGTATATTTTTCTCATATACATACACAAATACAAAATTACTTATTAAACTAACTTTTGCAACTTTTGTACAACACTTTTAACTTCAAGCATTTGCTTCGAATTTAACTGCATTTTAATTAACTTTTCAGTATAATTTTTCAAGCAGTCAATAGTGACGTCAGTTTCAAGTTTAATTTTTTTACAATTTGGCTCAGATGCATCTGAATCTAAACAACGACGTCGAAACTTATTATTACGAATAAGTTGAAAATATTTCAAATCGTATTTTGCAGAACTTGTTTGAACATAATCACTGATCAGTTTTTTCACAAGTCCTGAACTTGTGGACACCTGTTGTGTCACAGTTCCGTAATTTCCCTTATTAGACAATTCAGTAAAACTCTCCAACGCCATTTGAACAACGATAGCACTTTTACTTCCCAGAAGAGTAAGAAATACGTAGGTTATTAATGGAAAAATTGAGTTTCTCTTTAAACAATTATTAAAATTTCGACCAGAAATCCAGCGTAAAAAATCACAAATAAGTAATTGAAGAAGAAAGGTATTCATCACTGGTTTCAACTGATTTAATATCTGAAAAAAATATTATACGGAAAGTCACAGAAATAAAATATTTACCGATATTAAATGTTCGACAGTTAATTCTTCGCCCACAAGTGAAGTTATTTTTAACAATTTTGGGATAAAATAATTGAAAGATTTATTTTCAAGTGAAACCTCAGATAATTCGAAAGACCACAATTTCATTAACATTGGGACCAGTCTACCTGCATTTATTTCAAGAAAATTAAAATTTGTGTAAGAAAGAATATCAAGTGTTTCCATCTACAAAAAAACAACAGTAATAAAAAATAAATCAAGTTATATTTATACATACCAAAAGCATAAAATCAGCAATAGAATAATTCTCTTTATCCATTAGACACGTCTTGTCATCTAAATCGCTCAGAATAAATTCTATGCAATATCTGTGAGACAGGGGAATATTTCTAGTACTTATAATTTTCCAAATCGAGATATTATTCGGATCACACTTAGACAGTTCTTCGATTTGAATACCCACCGGCAAAATTTTAAAAATACGTTGAGTAAGAATTCTAATATGAACAATTGCCGGACTAGAATAAAATGAGCCTAATTTGAGTTCTAAAATTTTGTTTATCAAAACTCCTATAACTGAGCGGCATGTATGTTCAGATGAATATCTAAAATATGAAAAAATTTCATTGATGTTAAGAAACAAATTGTAAAATTTTAATTACTTTAAAACTAAGCACCAAACATCTACTGCGATTAATGTTGTCCAAATATTTTCTTGCAGAACACATTCTAAAAACATTTTTTCCAATTCTGGGTAAACATTAGGAAACAACAAAATTGCGGTCGCAACACTAGTAACTAATTCTTCGTAAAAATCCGAACTATCGAAAAAATATTCGACAAAACCTAAATTCGTGTCGTTAGAATTTTTTTTTATTAAACTGCATAAACTTACAATTTTTGGTCAGATTAAAAATTACGCGTATTAGTGAAACAATTTCATTTTCATCTAAAATTTTCTCAAAGTGTGGTTCTTTTAGCAAAGTAGTTGCGAATACAAGACTGCCGTAACTATCTTTAGTGATTACGTAATTATTCTCCTGTATTGTACAAACTTTCTACAAAAATGAATAAGAAATGTTTTAAAATTTTAAAATTCAGGTACCTTTAAAAAAATATTATAATGAACTATGAAGTTTAGCAACGATTCAGTGCACAAAGCCACTATCGTCTTGTAGGAGTCAACAGTCTCGTCTGAGAATTTACTCGTTTGAAAAACGCTGCCTTGCCAACTATAAATCATGATCCAAAATCTCAAAGTTTCGTCGTAACATTCCAAAATTTCAAGTTCACCCTCGAACAACTTCAAAACAACTTTAACCAAAAATCCTGCAACTTTAAAAAACTGGATTGTGTTTTTCGAGTCGTTGGTTTCCTGAAATAAACTATTTGATCATTTTCTAACTCAGATTATGAACTCACCAATTCTGAAGCAATTCTTAAATTGGTCTCAATTTCCTCAGTTAATAATTGAATTGCGGATGATACATTTTTGGTTGACTGTTTCTGTACTAACGCGATGAAAGTTTTCCAATTATCCGCCATTGATTTCATATTAACACCTGATAATGTCTTACTGATTTCGAGAATAACGCCTAAAACTACAATAACGTGTAAGAATTCTCTAAAAGTAAAAAATGTACTCTCTGTGTAAGCTGCAATTTCACTTTCGTTAGAAAAATTGAAAGTCAGGTGATGTTCTAGAAAATTTAAAAATTTGATATGTACCTCTTGCGTCCTCCTAAACACATCAAAAATCTCACTTACAGGCTTGTAAAAAGCACTGTATGTGCCCTGACTAAAACAAATTATTAAAAATAAGTTATAAATAATTGTTGTTTACCTAAATTTGCAATATTCAAATGTTGAACTTATTATCTGAGCTACATTTATAGGAAGACTTGGAATTTCTATAAAATTGACAATGGCATACTTCATCACATGTTCCAGGACTTGGTGGCAGATATCAATAAAATGTAAGGCCACCTAATTTTAAAATAAAGTAAAACTTTAATTTCTAATTTGGTATACCTGCAAATTAGTCCTGATTATGTCCAAAACTTGCCCACCATCTGATTGTACCAGAGAATTGTTTTTGGCATAAATCTAAAATTTCACATCATAATTATTAAATTGGAGACGCAAATATATCAAAAAAAATCACTAAAAACGAGCAGACACCTCAAGCTACAAATAATACTTGTTGTACTTCAAAACTCTATTCCCGTTTTTAGTGATTTTTTGTGCCCAACTGCCTTAGCCCAAATCTCATAAGCAACAACTTTAACATAACAACAACTTTAATAAAACACAATAAAATTTTTACCTCTTTCACCGTCTCTCTTATAATTGGTATAACATGTTTTAAAATGTCTTCTGCTTCTGAAATTGTACAAAAAACTAAATCTTCAGTTGCTTCTTTAACATGTTGAAGTATGATTTCTGGTTCGTTTTCTAATGAACTGTATTAACATTAAGGAAAATGCAAAATAGAATCATTAATAAATAAAGAATGAATGAAAAAAGGATATTATTTTTGTTGATAAACTTCGGGCTTTTTGGGATAAATCTAAGCCATCAAAACTCTCGTTTTCACTCATTGTTGTTGATTTTTTTTGATCGGTATATGAAACTTTAATTTGAAAACATAACCAATGATATCACCACAGATATAACCTATAAATTTCGGCTCGGTGTTACTCACAATCGCTAATTCTCTTTAACGTTAAAATGCATTAAATGTATTAAACTATTTTCATTCAATTCAATTTTTAATTCTATTAGCTTAATAATTCTTTTATAAAAACAATTAAAAAAAATAAAAAGAACCTTAGCAATTGGTCAATTTTGATACTAGGACTAGGAAGTACTTGGAGTCGGGAGTTTAGCACTTACAGCACTTTGAAAAAATTCTCTTTAGTAGCGGGAAATTAAAAACTAAAACATAAATGATGAAATTAAAGTTTGTTTTTTTTTTAAATGGAAATTACCAAGTCAAAATTTTGGTGAAAAAATTGGTAGCAGCTTGTCTCCATATCCACACATTTTGTTTGCTCTTTGGTTTTGTCCCTAGAAATTTTGTTAAAAAATTATGGTTATGTGTTCAAATTGAGATGTTGTCAAAATTTTGACTTTTATGAATCTTGTGTGCCTGTTTGCTTTTTGAAAGCGCTATAAATGAATACCTGAGGACAGACATCATTATCTAAGGTCTAAAGACAGGATTCAGTGCTTATAATTTTGATAGAAACACACCGCAAGTAATGTTGTGAACAAAAATGAGATTCTTGCTACAAAAACTTTGAAAAAAAAGGATGTTTATACGCAAAAAAGTTATTTAGCAAAAGATACAAGTGGGTATTATGATGATTGGTAAAAAATTTTGTGTAATTTATTGAATTGAGCTCAAAGTTGATACATTTTATAAATTCTTCTTCAGCTTTTGTTTCAAAATTGTTACTTTTTCAACTCGTTCCTCAAAAACGATGCACAAGACACTAATTTAATTGCATTCTTTCCGAGGTTCTTTCTCATTCATGTGTATTTGGTATTCTTGTCAATTTTTTGCTAAAAATTAAGAATGTTTAGCAAACCTGCATTACAAATTGCGTCTACATTTTAACGGGCCCTTTTTCTAACTTCCTGCTTGCGAACTATTCGTTTCCAAATTTCTAAAAACTGTTAGTGTACCGAATTTGTTTCTTTTTTGGTGTTTCGTCTCTAAATTTTCTTAGACGATTTTTTGTGTTGACGTTTAATGACATTGATTTCAAATTAATTCAAAAAACCGGAACTGCCAACTTCCTTTATTAAAATTACCATGGATGAATTTACTAGTGATGCCAACGTTAAGACTGTTTGGCATTTCCAGTAGAAAAAAAACAGACTTTACTTATTAGTGTAAAAAACAACACAAAAACATCAATCAAAATAAAAAAAAACGATTTAGATATATTTTAGTTTTATAAATCTAGTACTAGAAAACAAGAAAAATTCAATTCATAATTTTTTATTTCAAATGCAAACGCAGTTGGACAAAAGTGCTGAAATATGGTGCATAATTATAAAAAAAAGATCAATAATATAATTACCTATATTATAATTCAATTTGGACAAAAAAAACAGTTATTTCAACAAAAATTATATTTGTTAATTAAATTAATAATAGTTTCATTTTTTATTGCTTTGGCCAAGTCTAGAGGCGTTTTGCCACTTTTATTACCCACATTAAAATCCGCATTTAATCCCAATAAAAACTCCACAATTTCTTCACTCTGACTCAAAACCGCTTCATGCAATGCATTATTTCCCCAACTATTAATACTCTTTAAAGAAGCTCCACGTGAGAGTAATAATTTGACCACATCTAAGTGACCTTTAGCACAACCTCCAAGCAGAGGCGTATTCCCAGCCACAATATGATATGTTTCAAATTTCGACAAATTCCCGGTATCGTCTCTAAAAACCCCAAACTCGAGTATCGAAGGATCCACCAAACTACCCCAATGTAACAATTCTTCAACCACACTTTCCCACCCCTTAATCGCAGCTAAATAAATCGGAAGTACATTTTCACTATTTGCTACATTAACTTTTGCTCCATTTCGTAGCAATTCTTTTACACAGTCTGAACTTCCACTGTAGACACTTCTATGAAGAGCAGTCCAACCTTCCGGTGTTTGAAAATTGACATCACTATTGCATTGAATCAGATTATTGGTCACTGTTAAATTTTCATTGTCAACAGCAAGAAATAGAGGAGTTTCAAAATCGTCATTGCAAACATTAACAACAGCTCCGGATTTTAAAAGTTTTACAACTCCAGCTTCAAAATTTCCCTCAACTGCGCAAAGTAGAGGTGTAGAATCGAACCGATCTTTCGTATTAACATCACCATTATTGTCAATGAGTAAATTCAAAATCTCGATATTTTTGAAAAAAGCTGCCACATTTAGAGGTGTTTCTTTACTGAAGTTAGAAGAGTTGACACAAGCCCCACAATTTACCAATTCTTTGACTAAATCAAAATGGCTGTTTCTGCAAGCAAGTTCAAGAGGCGTTTCACCCCATTTATTAGTACAATTTGGGTCAATTTCGTGACGAAGGAGGGTCATCGCAGAGTTAATTTTCGATTCGTAAATCGCGTCTAGTAGTGGTGTATTTTCAAATTCGTGTTTACTCCTTTTGTTAGCATCACATTTATAATCCAGAAGTTGAGAAATACAATCTAGGGCTTCGGTACGGACTGCGAAATGTAGAGGAAGTCCTAAATTAACATCAGCACCTCCTTCGAGCAATTTATTGACCAATTTTGGATTATTCTTTGCTGCAGCTAACGACAATGGAGATCGGCCGTATTTATCACAAATATTGACATCAGAATTGGTCAAATCGACAAATCCGAGCCACATGGAATGGTGCAAAGAGGACCACCCCATTAAATCACATGGCAAACTCTCTTTACCTACCATAACATCACGAACATCAAAATTTTCCAATTTCGCAGCCAAACTCAATGGTGTTTGACCCTCAATCACCCATTCGGAGTCTACAAAATACGGCAAAGAGGAGTTAACATCACATAAGTCTACAATAGGGATATCAATGAAAGCCCCCGACTTGACTAATTCTTCCACAATTTCCAAATGTCCATTTTTTGCAGCTAGATGTAAAGGAGTTATATTTTGGCCACTAGCAGCATTAACATCAGCTTTGTATTTTATCAATTCTTTCACGTAATCTTTAAACCCTTCAGCTGATGCTACATGTAGTGGAGTCCAGCCTCCTTTTCGTGCGATATTGGGATCGGCTCCAAATTCAAGTAAAATTTAACACAGTCTATTTTTTTGAACATTGAGTGTGAATAAAGAGCCGTTTCGTTGTTGACATCTTGTAAATTAGGGTCAAGTCCGTGTTTTAAAAATTCGTGAAGAGAATCAGAGTTGTAACAAGAGTGCAAATAGCTACAACCCGTGCTGTCTCTTAAACCAAGCAAAGCTCCGTTTTTAATCAATAATTTAACCAAATCTGGTCGATCTTCTTGACGAACTAAACAAATATTTAAAGGGGTCATGTCGAACCTGTCTTTAGCATCAATATCACATTTTTGATCAATCAAGGGTTGGATTAAGGTCTCAATTCCCTGATCACAAGCCCAATGAAGAGCCGTTTCTTTGTCTTTATCAACAACATCAACATCAGCTCCGTTTTCTAATAAAAACTTTGAGATTTCGACGTGTCGTCTGCTTATTGCAATCAACAGTGGATAATTATTGTCGCGCTCCAAATTTATATCGGCTCCGTTTTCAATGAGAATTTGCGCGACTTTTACGTGGTTTTTTTCACACGCGTAGTGCAGAGGAAATCCACAATTGACTTTTATTGCTCCTGATGATAGTAAAAGTTGTACTAGTAAATTATAATTTTTTGCGCTGGCAATTGACAAAGGAGTCCGTCGGTATTTGTCTAAGGCGTTTAGGTCCACATTTTGGTTTATTAAACTTTGTACGAGTGAAATGTTTTCTTTTTCAACCATGCAATGAAGAGGAGTCCATCCCAAATTTAATTCCATGGTGGTGATAAAAGTTTTATAATCTTCGATTTTTTCTATTGAAACAAAAATCGTCATAAACAATCAAATAATCAAAATTTTATCTTCCCTCTTACCGTCTGATGTCATTATTGCAACTAGTTGCGCAATAGGTACGTATTTTGCAGTTTTTAACTAAACACTAAATTATTTAGTAATTTCACTTTCTTTATAAATTTTTTAACTCCATGTTTTCACAAATATTAAATTTGTTAATGAAATTGAGAGTGAGAAATCAAGAATTCGCATCGACTATAATCTATAACAGCTGAATGACTCACGATTCGATACTTAACCGTTTTTTTTTCATAAAATAACAAAAATACATTCTAAAGACAATCAAATTAATAGACAAATTATTTTACTTAACGATCAAATTTTGTCAAAAGATATTTTTCAATTTTAAAACTTAATTAATCTTCAAAACAATTTAATTTAATTTTATGCAACCAGATATACAAACGTGTACGAAAGTATGCCTAAGCGCCCAAAAAAATCGGAAACCTCAAAATCGGACCCGATGATGTTTTTGCACTCCTAGTGGTCTTACGAATTCGGAAAAGTGAATAAGTGTATTGTTAAAAGAACAAAAAAATTTGAAAGTCCCAAAAGTCGCAACAATCACTACACGACTGGTTAAAATGGTTTGTTTACACCGGGCAACTTTTAAGTTATCGAGCTATTATATTGAGTATTTCCGGAGGTTGCTCTCAAAATAATACATCGATTTTAATGTAGAATGTTTCTACAATTAAAAATTCTTTTGTTCTTTCGTAATTGGTTGAAATTAATAATACACTTGACACAAACGACGAATGCAATAAAATTCGCAATTTTTATTTAATTTATTTTTTTAATTAACTATTAAATATGAAACAAGAACATAATGGAATGTTGTTAATAAAATTTATTAATGAAGCATAAAATACAGTTATTTCATTTCTTCTTTTTTTGTTGCTTCTGACGACGTTTTTCTTCTTTTCTTCTCTCTCGTGCAGTCAAAGACTTGTACAGTTTGTAACCAAAGAATGCTAAAAACAAGATGAAATAGTAATTAACAATCAATAATTTACAATAAAAAAATATTCACACTTAATACATTAATAATTAAACAATTCTTACCGAAGATCACAACTATTAACACAATACAAAAAATAAAAACGTAAGCAAAATAGTTAACTTTCGTTTGAAGCAGTTGCCCCATTTTTTCTTTAAAGTCATCCCCAAATTCTTCTTTTAACGCGTTGGCCACATTTTTGATCTTTTCCGCAAGTTCATCTTCGTCTAAGCTGTTTTTTATAATTTCATCTAAATTTGCCATTTTAAGTCGCTAAATTTTCTCACTGTACAATCAACAACCGAATTTATTTTACTGTTATCTGTGATTGCGTAACGTGATCGAGATATCAATTTTATTAACTCTTATCATAACTTCTTTTTATAAAGTACAAACAATAATTATTTTCTTACCAAAAATCAAACCGACAACGGTTATCAAACCGAATAAAATTGCTAAATCTGGAGCCATTCCAGAAGGTGGACCGTCCACAGCAGACATAAATCCAGGTTTTGCTTCATTAGCACGCGCCATCAGATTGTCCCTCAGTTTTTCTTTTTCTTCGTCTGAAATACCTTCCATATTTTCCAAAGCTTGCAGTATTTCTTCCAATGATGGCATTTTGAAATTACCATCTCTTGGTTCGTTATTCACAGCTTCAGGGTCCATTTTAAGACACTACACTCACTTATCAATTTGATAAGGACAATGCTGTTTTAGTTGTAATAATAAAAATAAATGCAACGTGTTAGACATGTCATCATTTTATTTTGCAAGGAATGTTATCGCATTTTAGTATTCTACTTAAATACAGGAACGTATTACTTTATTTATTTTTTGTTGTTTTTGAAATTTGATGATATTGTCGCGATCAATATAGTATTTTGGTCGTCAATGTTACTATTTTTTTTATATCAGAAATTTTGTAACTTAACCTTTGTGATTGTCTCAAAAAGTCAATAATAGTTTAAACGTCGATTGACTTTCTATCATTATTGCTGGCATGAAATTCAGATTACAAAAATTAATTTGTCAAAAAATTACATTGACTACCAAAATATATTGCAGGCGCCTATAGTTTTATATGTATTTATAAATGCAATTTTTTACGATATCACAATCAAATTTTATAAATTTAAGAAAATTTATTTATTAACTGTACAATAAAATATGAAGAATACAACATGACAATGGAATGTTATATGTTCGTCACAGATTTAATAAATTTATCTTTGTCTACAGTAAGTGTTATTTATTTTTTCTTCTTTTGCTGCTTTTGCCGCCGTTTTTCTTCTTTCCTCCTCTCACGTTCAGCTAAAGACTTGTACAATTTATACCCAAAGAAAACTGAAACAAAAATTATTGATATTTATGACACTTGACATTTGATGCTTTTTATCATCGCCCAATGGGATTACAAATTTAAACAAATATTTTTAATTTGAATTAAAGTGGGAATAATTCTATTAATTAAAATTTTACTTACTCGATAAAGACACGAAAATTATGCCGGGCAAAATAAAAACAGAGTTCGAGAAACCATGTTCGATAGGACCGTCTTGCCCGCCTCTCAAATCAACCATAGTAGGTATAATGAAATATTTAATACAACCAATAACCCACACTTGTTTATCTACAATATACAAATAAATTGCCGTTTATATTATTTATTGTTAACAAATTCGTTTACGGTTTTTCTCCCCATCCGAATGACATTGGGAGAAACGTAATATCCCTAAAATCCCTTAATGACGAGCGAAATTCAAACAATGAAATAATAGCTTGTCAAGTTTAATGTCGAGTCAAAATGAGCAGCACATTGAATAAATCCTCAACTTTAAACGTTTCTGGTGATTTAAGTCTAGCTTCAATCAATTTTCCAAAATTCCCCAAAAATGTAATAGTTTCCGAAGAACTTAACGGCTATTTGCGCGATCAACTCGAGGTGAAATTTAAATTTGTCTTAATTAGGAATGTTCATTAATTGGTTTTAAAGCAAGCAAAACGTGAAAACCGTAGTCTGCAAGAAGAATTAGAAAAAAAAGAGGCTCAGATACAACAAAGTCAAACAAAAATTGAAAAACTAAACGAGAAGTTTAATGATTATGAAAACTGCTGCCCTAACGACTTTGCTTCTGCTTCACAAGTTGCAAATAGTAAAATAGTAGAGCTGAGTAAGAAATTGAGAGAAAAAAATTCTGAAGTCGAAGTGTACAAATCGAAATGTGCAAAACTGGAATCAACGTTATCTGAATTAAAATTAACACAAGAGGAAATTGTTCAAGTTGATAAACCAGTCGAAACCAATTTAGACGAAATGAAAAAACTACAAGAGAAATTAAATTACACAACAAACAAATGGATTGAGGAGAAAAATTTAAATTTGCAACTTAAAAATGACCTCAAACGTGCGAATAAATGGTTGCAACAAGAAGTCGGCGAAAAATTTGAAACTTTGTTGAGTCTAAATTCATCAAATTCCAACTGGAGAGGCAGAGCGCAGATAATTTGTGATTTACAACAGAAAAATCAGGACCTGAAAGAAAAGTTGAAACTGTTTCAGGACAACAAAGGCCCCGTTTTCAATAGCGAATCGATTCAAATCAAGCATGAGAGAAAAATTGAAGCCTTGAAAGAGGAAAACTCCGAATTGAAAAATAATTATACAGATCTGAAACGCAAATTTGATGCTCTTAAAACTCGGTGTAAGGTCTTGGAAAACGATCACAGCTTCCTGAAATCAAAATTGGCTAGTTTCGCTGAAAGACACGACGTCGACCAACAAACTGTGGCCAAATTGACGGTAAAATATCCACTACATTGGGTCAAAGAAAAAAATTCAAAATGTACCAAAACTGTCTAATTTTCTAGTCGCAGTTGCAACAGTGCAACCAACTTAAAACCGAAGATTTGAGACAAAAGGACCAAATGGTTAAATATTTACAACAGGAGAACGAGACACTCAAAGTCGAGTTAATGAAAGAAAAATGTTTGTCGGAAAACAAATCGAAAGAACTGTTGGAAAAAAACGACGATATTCAGTTGCTCAACAAAAGAATAAGAAGTTCGCGACCTTCAAGTTCTTATAAACACAGACATGAAAATGTGACTTCCTGTCTTGCCTTACATTTTTTCTATTCTCAAATGTTTCAGCCGGAAACGAAAACCATAAACCGTCTCGAAGTGGAACGTTTGCGTCTTTTAGAACTAACCAAAGTCCAAAACAATCGTCTTGAAGAAGAGAGAAACGCTCACCTCAAAAGCCAACACCTTCTACGTGCCGAAAAACAGAAATGTGCAAGGCTTGAGGCGAGTTTGGCGAGACTGGAATTGGAACAAAATAGTGCAAGGTCAGGGTACGGGAGTAAAAATATTACTCCCGGACGGATGGAGATGGATGTTAAAGACAAGTTGGAATTAGCTGAAGAAAATATCAAAGCTTTGACTACAAGACTGGAAATCGAGTGCATGGAAAGAAAAATGGACTTTCAGGAGTTTAGTAAGGTTTTAAAGGATTGTACATGTGGTAAATTTTGAGTAAATCCCAAGTGATATTATTTAGTTTTATTTAACATGTACAGTAACTTTTTCAGAAAATTAAAGCATAAATTTGTTAACTAAGATAATTGGGTATTAATATACATGGTTTACAAAAATTATGGAATTATGTATTTTATACAGTTCTGATATCAATTGTGAAATTTAAGAGAGGTCGTTGACTACAGGAAAAAGCTCCATGAAATCTGTTAAGCTTGTAAATTAATATTATTAGAAATAGTTCCTTTTAATATCCAGTTTCTAACCAAATCACTCTTACTCAGTTCTGCAACTGGTTAAATAGAATTTTATCAGTTCTTTCTCTTTCATATAATTAATTTTAATCCATACCCTCAACGACCTAGAATCAAATACGAAATCGTAACTAATACAATAAACATGACGAAGCACCAGCACTTTGTCAATAACATTTTCAAAAATACCATAAACATGATATAAAAATATTTGTAAATAGTCTCAAAAATAATGCTTGAAGGCACTTTTGGTCCCTAATTTGTAAAAAAACCCGGAATGTAAATTTCCAGAATGAATTTCCTTTAAATAATAAAAAAAGAGATTAATCCAGCGAATGGCAAGCAGTGGCTGCACACAATTTTCCAATTTCTAAAAATATATATATTTTGTTCTTAAATATTGACCAGTTGCACGTAATTCGCTGGTAACATTCCGACTTGGCCCGTACGCTGTACTTCCCCCGTCATCCACCCTCCGTCGATGCTGCTCACGTTGACAATTAGGTCACCATCTTGGAAACTGACCTCGTCATCGTCTTGCGCCTCATAGTCGTACATGGCCCTGTTGACAAATAAGAAAAATGAAAAATAAACATTTCTGTAAATTCTGTTTGATATCCTTTGAATAATTTCGTCCAGACCTACCTGTAGACGCGCCCTAGTGAGCCGTAATTATGATTGACGGGGTCCAAGTCGTGCACCGACCCAATATGTCTCTGTGGTGGATTGTTAACCGACCCCATATCCGAGGAGTAGATCAGCGTCTGCGAGTTCCTCGCCGAATAGGGGCTTGTGAACTGCCCTGAGCCGGGCTCGTAGTCGCTTATCTTCCCGATGGCGGGGTTAGCGACAGGCTGAGGCTGTGGCTGGGGCTGAGGTGGCGGCGGCATCTGGTTGGCGTTTTTCACGTCGCTCGTATACGCATTTTTGTTTTTCTCCGTGTAGCCGTTTTCGTTCAATTGACGGCGCTGTTCCATCTCGGCTTTGCGTTGGTACTCGCCGTGGTAGGCGACATTACTGATGATTTTCGTATTTTGTTTGATTCGGAGGGTTTCTGGGTCGTCAGCCACTTGGGTGAATTTGCCTTTGCTCTTTTCGAAATCTGCGTGGTATTTTACGTTAGATTGAATTTTTGTGTTTTCGGCGATGCGTTTCAGTTCGGGTGTTTCGGCCATTGTCGTCGCTTTCGCCTTCGGTATGTGTCTGAAATAAAGTTGTTTAAATAAGCAAAGTGCTTTTTGTTTCAATTATTTTTTCGCTTAAAACACATTAACAAGACAAATAAACCATAAAAAAATACAGTGTCTTGTCACTCCTATTAGTAAATAACAGAATTCTTTGTCACAAAATGAAAGTGTGAAAGTAGCCATAAATAGGTCAAAAGTAAATAAATAAAAATAAACAAGACGATTCATTAGAAATAAAATTTTGTTTCTACATTTTGTAACCAATCTATTTTTTCTATACTTCAATATTTTTTTGATTTTAATTACAAAGCATCCAAATGATGTGATTATTAATTTTATTAAATCTTATACAGCAAGACAAAAAACTCCACATGCTATACATGACTACTTAATAATTAATTTTCTAAACACAACTGCAAAAAATTTGATTACGTTGATTGGTAATTCAGTAAGCAATAAAAAACCTGCAAAAACAAAAAAGATTTTCTCAAATTTTCATCTAGACATATGGGAAAAAATTTATGTTATCAAAAATGAGAGTGTTTCCTTGCATTTTAAGGTAATTCGTTGTATCAGTACATCCAGTTTGTGACCTCGTTTTTGAACTCAATTTACTATTGATTGACAATTGACACTTCAATGACATAATTAACTAGTAGAGCGCCACAAAAAAATTAAATTCAAAAGTTCACTTGATAAAAATTATTTTGAAACACACTGCATTTTAAGAAAACGAAATTTTACAAAACGAACCTGAACACCCATTCCTCGAAAAATAAAAACTGTATTATTGCTTTTTGCTTTTCGTTTATTAATAATAAATACAGGGTGATTTGAATAGTTGTGCGTGCAGAACTTTTAAAATTTAAAATTGATACAAAATTTTTATCTTTTCATTGTTTTTTTTAAGATGACATTTTTCTTCTGACAGCTGTTTTTCCTAATTTGAACTCACTTTTTTATAACAATGTAATAGATTTTAAAGAACTAACCTCAGAGATCAATTTAATAAGGCTGCGCCACAAATCCAAATTTATTGAATAAAGATTCGGTAAGTTGAGCTATTTTCGTTTTTTTTTTTCCTACTACAACTATTAAAATTACCCTGTATACTAAGTGAATAGTCAATTAATTGAAGAACTCTGGTATAAATTAAGAAAAATAAACCTTACATAGGTTAATCCTAGCTGCTTATAACTTTTTCTCTTTTCTAATTTGCAAAATTCTCTATTTCATTATCATGAATTAATTAACATTCATTTATTTGGTTGAACCAGCCTGTCTTCTTGGTAATTTCCGATAGCTACCTGGTGCTTTCCACAGTAGTAGGGTTCCCATTAAACGCTTTGATACAAATTAAATTTGAAAATGTAGACATGCGGGTTGCTACTCTTTTGTTATTTCTACTTTAGATGTTCATTATTTATTTTTTGAGGGGCTTCATAAAAAGATGTTGTACAATACATCTTATATTTCAAAAAAGTAACCTTACACTAACTAATTTACTACGTCACTATATCGATCCTTAAAAACTGTCCGTTAACGAAAAACACATTCTTTTAAAACTCGTTTTTTAGTAAAAATTTATATACACGAATTTTTAGAAGGTAAATTATTTACTACAGTGTAAGGTTATATTTATTGAATCTAGACTAATGAATTTAGAAACCTTATATTCTCTTAAATTTTCTAATAACTTAAAAAAATTATGGCTTTTATGTAGAAAAGTTAATATTTTAAACACATACGGAGACCTCGTAGTTTCATTGACAGTTATTCTACTTATACATACATATGTAAAATTAATTAAACTAAACTAGATAAGAAATAAGTGATTGATATCTTTAATTATGTTGTAAATTTTTTTGAGCATGTGAAAGTAATATTTTTTACGTCTATTGTAATAGCCATGGCAAATTGCTTTATTCTATTTCTAAAATGAAAGTCTATCAATCATCAATACGAATGTCAAGATATTCCAGATAATAGGTATGAAATGTGTAATATTGGTCCACAAACATCTCTCTACCACCATAAATCGTAATTTTATATTTTGAAATAACCAAATCACATCCTTTTGTATTTAATCGAAATTTCTACCACTTATTCAGCCTTATTACAGAAACAAAATAACACAAAAGCGACATATGTTGTTCGTTAACGACCAAAATGTGTTGGAATTTCGTAACGAATCGCTTTTAAATGCAGTAAAATTAATGAGAGTTTGTACTCGTATATTATGCGTGTCCATAAACCTAAAAACTCAACGTATCCGTAGAACGAAAACTTTTAAGGCAACCTAACAAATGAAAAAATAACTGAACATGTTAATGTTGAATAATACAAAAAAACTATTTTAAACAAATATTTCGATAATTATTATTATTATTTACAAACCAATCTCGTTAAAAAAATTATTTTGTAAATCAACTGATTTTGTCTTTAACAAATTGTACGGTTGTTCTTTGCAAGGGTTTGGTCTTTTGGTAAGATTTAAAAAAAAATTGTTTGTGCAATGCTTCTTGCTTTTCTTAGGATGAAGATAAATTCTAAATGGAGCTAAAACATTAAACTCTCTAAATATTAGCTTCAATATACAGGCTGGATTATAAAAAATGCCCGAAGCCATAATTTCATTATTTTTAAAGATTTTGCAACACTTCTTTGATCAAAATTGAAAAGTTTTTTGTTATCAGTAGTTTGCTTAGATAATATGAATAAAATATTCTATTCTTTCCAGATCCTACTTTATTTAATTTAATTTCCAAATTGCCTAAAAGCAAGCAAAAGTTACTGATAAATAATAGTGAGCTTGTTGAAAAACAATTTAATGAGGAATCCAAAAATAATAAAATATACAGAGTGTTCCATTAAAAAAATTTAAATTGATATCACTTCCGGTAAAACAGGAAGCAGCATTAATTGAGCATCTATCCCAAACAATAGATGACAAAATACTGTTCAAGTTTGTTCTAAGAAGTATTGTCATATTTTTAAAAATAATGGACTTGTGGCTTGGGACGTTTTTCATTATCCAACCTGTATAATAATTAATAAGACTAAAATATGGCTATGATAGTGCAACAATAATAAACAAAGTCATATATCTAAAAGGTATAATTCTAATTTATGAAAATTATCGCTGTAAACATTAACAGTTTTCCACAACACTATTTATCGCCAGTTATGTGTCCCTGAATGAAAACAATTTAAAAAATCCACAACGTAAATCACTGAAAGACAAACGGAGAATAGTAACCTCTTTCATCACCATTATCATTAACAAGCTTTGAGATTGAAATCATTTGAATGAAAGAATGTATGAATGAGTATAAAACAATCATGAAAATTCAGTACTGAAATGTAATTTGCGGAGCATGACATCATCAATTTAACTTTCTTTTCAAGCTGCATCCTTTTTTGCAGTACAATACTATTATTTCGTGTCATCAATAATTAAACAATACACACTAATCGTATGAACTATAAATAATAAATATCTTACGCTTCGCAATACGGTTCCTTGTTGAATCCTTTGTAATTCCTCATATTGAGGGCCATTCCACATTCTTTGCATTTGAAACATGGTTTATGCCAAATCTGTAAAAGAGTGGCTTTTTAGTGACGATGAAGATCTAAAATTCGGCTGATAAGATGGGAAGTGGTTGAAATTTTTGTGAGTCATTTTCTTCTATTAACAGCCTTGACTGAATTATTTTAATGAGGTCGACTTTTTTATAAATGGTAATATTCGTTATTAGGGATGGGCGTAATTTCAGCTGTTAATTCGAAAATGCCGTTTCCTGTTATCTAAACGAAGACATTAATTAAACAAATTAATCAAATTGTTACCTTATCTAGGCACTTGAGTTCTTCAGTCGGATATACGGTCTTTTCACACCTCGCGCATATTTTGCTCATGGTTATCTCCTTATGTAACTTGCTCGCATTTAAACACACAGCACCGATCAACGTTCAGTTAAATTAATAATAAAATCACTCATCCGTAGGGCTATTGCAAAATCTTTTATAAATAAATTACACACCCAACTCTACAATATATCGGAAGTTCTTGCCTCTTTGATGAATCGTGCATCTACTGATCGCAGTCGCTGGATTTTAGTGAGGAAGTTGTACCAACTTTCATACGATAAAAGCGCCAGAGGACGCCGGATTAAAAGCCGACACTGGAATTTTGAAACCACAAAATATAAAATAAAACGTTAATAATATGCCAATTGTGTCTAATTGATTTCTATAAATTATAACAAATTCCAAAACATTTCCGTTATCAAAAAAAAATGTTACCCATTGGGCAATGAAAATTAAAACCCGCTTGAATAATAAAGTGTTTCAACATTTTGCTTCTTTTTTATTTGCAATAAATTGTGCCAACTTTGTAGTAAAATCTTTTTACGATTTTTTAAAAGTAAGAAAACAAGCAAAACCACCTAACATACCGATTTAGAATTATTTATGTAATTACATACTTTAATTGTATTAAATGTTTTGATTTATTGTTTATACAATAGGTAAATATACAAAATAATGTTGTATGTACAAAAAAGAAAATAAACAAACATTTTCAAAATTTACATAGTAAAAAATTAAATTGTTTACAAAATTATGTACTGTTTACTTACTAATGCTAATTTTAACTCCTATGAGTTTGTCATTCACTTCCGCAGATTTTCTAAGAAATGATAATTAACAAACTTTTCTGGAAATTTCAGCTCTGATGTCACTCCACGTAATCCTAATATGTATGCGAAGAAGGTTTTGTCTATGGTTAGGAATTTATGAGTATAAAACAGGAAAGAAATTTAATTTTTTTATCCAGTTCAAAAGTATTTGCTTCGAAATTAATGCTATATGTATTTCCTATGAAATCTTGCAATTTTGAAATACAGCTCCAAAATTTTTCTTGATAGGTAGGTAATCATATTTTTGTGTTTTTTTTTTGTAAATTCCTCAAATGAATATTGTTATGCAGCTTTTGTCACTGTGACATAACAGTAGTAACAATATTAAATCAATTATTGGAGTGGTAAAGATTGCTTATCAGTTATTAACTGTTCAAAACAAGGTAATGCGACAAAAGTGATTTTTGGCCTATATCAACTTTTAATTAAGAAAAACTTTTATCATTTCTTTCAAAACTAATATATATGTATTGATGCCCTAGTATATTTACATATTAAGATAATTGAAAAATAAAAAAAGATATACCAACAATACCCTCTTTATTACATCCTACAGACATATTGCTAATGAAATACATTACTTCACATAAACCACATTTCAACACTTCTACAAAAATAAACAAAATCAATAAATTAACAATTTCAAAAAACGATATAAATATATAAATAATTCGATGTATCAAAACCAAAACCTGGTTTAAGTACAATGTAAAGCTTTAGGAATGTTTAGACAGGCAAGGCATGACGGTTGCGTATTAAACTACGTAACACAGTGTAAACTATCATAAGCTTTGACTTTATCAGGAATTGCAGCCGCTTCTAGAGGAACACGCACCATCAACTCCTTTAACGTCGACACGTAACTTATTTTCCGATAAAACTTTGAACTAGAATTTCAAAAATTAATACAAATCCTAGTATAAAATTGTTAAATCCTCACCTAATAAACGGTTTTGCCATAAACAGCATCGTCTTAATCCAAAGCGTCGGATGCACTAAATACAAATGACTCAAATTTTTCCGCAACTTGCGCCCCACCATCTGGTAGCACTTTTTCAACCAACTGAATGCCGGCAACTTCGTTGCGCCCCCGTGTAAATACACCAAAACATAATCATCGGTTACTAATCGCTCCAAAGTCCAAAGTATATACCTTAAAATTTCGAAAAATTAAAATTCGACAAAATCGACTCTACCAAAGTTTACAAAAAGAGATTATCCATGACGTAAACATAGTCGACTCTGGATCGATCAGGGAGGTAACAAGCGGAAAAAATGACGATCGCAGTGTGTCCCCCGGCCCGGAGGTACCCTCCATGGGAGAGCACCCTCTTGTACGGCTCGATCACCCGCATGTCGATCGTTCTTTGTTCACCTCCGGGTAACACCATCCTCTGCCAATGGCGGGCGTGTCTCCTCTCGTCGGCGGCGCTCAGAGGCTCGATGGGTTCGGAGGAATTGTCGTTTTCTTGTTCTTCAGCCCCGATTTCCAACTGGCCGGTGAAGACGTGCTCCGATTTTAGACTCTCGGAAATACTGTCCAGGGACGAAACGTCGCTCTCTTCGCTAGCTTCCGTTTCCATTACTTTGACTCGGCGTAGTTTGTTGCTGCGCTTTTTATGAGCCAAAAAATTCAAGTTACCTAAAAATTCTTACACATTTTAGTTTCGAATTTGTATTCGATTAAAATAAAATAAAAAAGATTGTGCACATCATTAATGTTACTCTAGTAGTAGCACAAAAGTTTAAAAATGGAGGGAAATTCAATATTTTATCAAGTAATGATGTAATAATAAATCAAACAGCGAAATAGGACTACTGTGTACACATAAAGATCAGATAAGATTAGAACCAACTCACCTTCCTTTTCATTCATAGTGAGACAAACGTTTTGCAAATTAGAACTAAGATGTGCTTCATAAACAGACTTATCATTTTCAGTATCACTTAATTCAGTATTATTAACTTCTAAAGGCAAATCATACATTAGTGATTTTTTTAAAGCTGAAGGACTTTCAGGAAAATCTGAAACCGAAACAATAATCATAAACAATCTTCCTTCACGTGGATACCCACCTGGCAATTCATTGTACTCTTTCAAAGGGGGTAAATTGAAATGCAACTGCTTCTCAAAACTGTTCTCCAGCTCGTCCTCCCCCGTTTCTTGCTTGATACTGTGCTTTTCATAATTCGCGTGTTTGCTTTTCGGTTTTTCAGGAATTAAATCAGGAAAATCTGGCGAAATGGGTGAGGTGCATGTATACATCAAAGGATGTGAATTTGTAGCGTTTTGGGTTGAAGAGACGTTCTTGGTCGAATGTGTGTTTTCCAATTTGGCATTATCCAAATCGAGTTTCTCTTGTTCGCTTTCGAATCTCAAAACTTGACTAGAATTGCTTATTTCGTGACTGGACGTGTCAGATGTTTCTGAAATGTCCATTTTGTCAGGACTTGCCTCACCGCTACGACAGAAACGTTAGCTGATTTTTGGAAACAGCATTCGGTGTACCTCATTTGAGATTCCAGATTGTTCGAATACAGTCTTTCAATTACATTAATGCCTGTTTGTTCTACTTTTTGACTTGCACAAGGTCTAAGCCATTTTTAAAATCGCATGTCAATAAATGGATGTCAAACAACAAGATAGCCAACCACCACTTTTTGAATAACAGCGGGAAACTTTTTTTATAAACTAGAAAAAATGAGATTCTAAAAATTAACTTCTGTCTCGAAGAAGCAATCTGATAAACAATATTTTTTTTAATAAGTTATAATTCAAAATCTTTTGTAAAAATGACACATTTTCGGCGGGTTAAATTAAATTAGAGGATTTTATTAGTAATAATTTAATTAACACAAACGTTGTTATTATACAAAAATACAAGTATGTATTAAAAATGTGATAGGTCCAAGGGTGAAAAACAGATTTCTGCAGTAGTTTGAAAATTACATGCTTTATTATAAAATGCAGAAAGGCACCTATTGTAAATCAAAACACTCCATAATCACGATCCGAAACCTGTTATACATTCTGCGTAGAATAATATGTCAAAAATCGAGTAACCAGAAAAAGCAAAACTATTTACACGGAAATCACTCTTTTTTATACAAAGCAATAAATAAGTCGTAAATATACTACAAAAAAAATCCAGCAATCGAGTGAACATGATTTCCATTTTTTTACAAATCGTACATACAAGAATTTTTATTTGAAATATGTGTCAGTCTTGTTTTTTAGTATCATCTTCAACTTCTTCAATTTTACTTTTTTCACTGGTTGGTGTAACTGGATCCACTTCCATCGCTGCCGATTCGGTGTTCGAATTTTTAATTTCCAAATCTGAAAGTTTTTCCGAGTCGGACACGTTATTTACAGTGGGATCATTCGGCGGTTCGGTTATAATTGGCCCCGCAGTGTCCGAATCCGAATCACTCGCCGAATCTGATATGTCAGATCTCTTCTGTTTAATCGACAGTCTGTTGTCTAATTTTGGAGCAATAGGGCGTTTTTTGCGGGCCGGATTAAACGTCAAACAATAACAGCAACGAAACGACAAATAATCAAATTCTTCTTTGAGAGCCATACCTTAAAAACACAAATTTTTCAAACCCTACAGTGACTGGAGACTACAAATTTCCATTTTTTGCTTTATTAGTAAGCAAAATATTAGTCTCGTAAGTTATGACTTACCATTATGACTAGAACAATTTTTACAAATCAATGCAAATCTGTTGGAAGGACCATCTCCGACAAGATAGTCCACCATTCTATCCAGAACTGTACGTTCCCTAGGCAGGATAGCCCTTGGCAATGGCAAAGGGGTGCTAGGGATAGGAGGACGACCTACGCTTGATATAATGCTTTGTGACTGAGAAGAAGGTAGTGAGAGCAACGAAGGAGTACTTGAAGGCAGCAAGGATTGCCTCGAGATGGGGGTCGCCATAGGGCCGAAAGTGCGATTGGGGGCTGCTGAGAACTGACCTCGATACCGCAAACCTGTCGACATTTTTGCAAATTAACATTTGATAGACTTGGGTAAAAATTCGGTGAAACTGACCCACTTGCTTAAAATAGATTAGAAAAGCAAAAAATTGATGCAATTAATCTGAATAATTAATTATTTAATTTGTTTAGCAGTTTCTTACTTTTAAACAATAATATCAAAATTGCCCAAAAAATTACAGTTTGAATTTCATGACAATAATTAGTCTTGAGAACAGAAAAGTATCGAAAAACGTTGACTCTTCGACTTTTGTTTCTATCGTAAAATACAAATTTTAACTTTTTCAGTTTATTCGAGAAATGTGGCACAAAGAACTTGAACAGCTCTGTATATTTAATAAAAAAAATAAAAGAAAAATGAGAAGATATTTGGAGCAAAAAAGTATCGTCTTCGACTTTTGTTTCTATACTAAAATACAAATTTTAACTTTTTCAGTTTATTCGAGAAATATGGCACAACAAACCACTCTGTGTTTAATAATAAAAAATAAATGAAAAATGAGCAGATATTTGGAACATGATTATATTTCATTTCTTGTTTAATTTTAAGAATAATAAAACAAAAATGGTATATGTAGTTCATTTTAAAATTAAATTTTATCGTTTTCCAATCTCTAACATTTTCTTTTTCTTTCAAATTCTAACCAATTTTAATTTTCTGGTCGTTACTTTTGTTGGTACTTCTCTTTTACACATAGAGAAATATTGAAATTCATTTAGGTAAATGCTATTTTGCAAGAATATGAAAAGTTAACTTGTCCTGGTGAAATAATAAAGTAGTAAACATTGATGACTCATGGAGAGAACATACAAATACAAATTGTTTATATTACTCAGAACTTCACAATTTTATAATAATCTTCAACTGACAGAAATTGTGATTATGTTTTATAGAAAAATCTTTAAAAAAGTAGAGATTAAAACATGGTTAGTTTTAAATAATAAATAGTTTAGTGGTATGATGGTAGAGAAACATCAATTATGCTGCGTGACCGACATACAATATTTTTCGCCCTCTGGTGACATATTTGCACATAAAATAGAGTCTTTCTCGTCATAGACAAATCGTTTTATTTTTAGTGGTCGCAAATAGAAAGTTAATTAAAAATTCTTGAAACATTTCATAAATAATTTACGTTTGGTTGAGTTTTAATCTTCACCTGTATGACTTTGACTTGTTGGCGTGAAGGTCGCCAAAGGTCCACTTTTCACAGGCGTGCTTTGGTTCTCGAAAGCTGGATTTTTCTTAACTTGCTCTGGCGCAAATTTTTCTAAAATAGTTTTGGCAACTTTGTATGTTTCCTTGTCCATAACTTCCTCCAGAATTTTCTTTTTCTCGTTTTTCAAAGTACATAATTTCTTTTGGTTTTTTCTAATCTTCCTGTTGTAATACCATGACAAAGTCCGTTTTATTAGAATCAGTCTGAAATTTTATTTATAAAACCACTTGTTGTGTCTAAAAATACCCCAAACTCACAACATTGGTAGTATAATTAGTGGTATTATGTAAACAATTCTTTCGTAGGCCGACGCTGGGAAGAAATAAAAGTAGAATATTAAAGCTGTGACACAATACACACAAATTGAGATAAAAATGAAACGTCCAACCATTTTCTTTTGGGTTTGTTCAGTGCTTCTGCGAAACTCCTCTATGGATTGGATTTCCTTCTCGAGTTTTTCGAGCACCTCATAGGTAGTTTTCTTTTTCTAAAAAAGCAGTTTTTAGGGCACTTTGCCCAGTTTTAACCTCCATCAACTCACTCTAAATTTTGTAATAATAATACCCATTTTTGTAACTCCTGATAAATAAATAAATAAGAATGAAATACTACAATTTGTATCAATTATAACATTGATAGCAGCTGGAGTCAGTTTTCGGTGTCGACTTAACCTAAAAATTGGTTTTATTGTCATTAAAATTTGATAAAGTCATGCAGGAAGTGTCGTGTCGTGTTTATTACAACTATTACTCACCCGAACTGATTATTGTACAAATTAATTACAACATTTTTAAAGCTAGTTGGAAAAAACTAGAATTTTTACTGACTATCGGGAAGTTGCTCGCTGTCATATTCACAGATTTGTACTGATTTTGAAACGTGTCCAGGACCGGACTATGATGAGTGAGATGAAAGCAGTTTGGTTATGGATGCGTTACACTAGTTAGACAAAGACGCATGCATTTTGAATCTTTAATTTAGAGAATAGCGAATGAAAGGAGTGAAAGTGAAAGATTTTTATTTTTTTAAAAATTGCAAAAATTTATCCAAATGGATGATTTTAAAACCTTTTGAAACAAAGTTTGTTTCTTTGAATCGGAACAATACATTTGGCATATAAAAATTAACAGGAATTTGAACCAGCAGTTCCAATTTTATCTTATCTTGATTTGATTCATACAAAGCATAGAATAATAGAGACATACAGGAATAGATTGTTGCATTAATAAACTATCGATATGTTTTTCAATTACTTTATAAAAGTAAAAAAATTAATAAAAACTACAACATTTAACAAATGTTGATTATCGGCATGCACTTTTTTTAATGAATATTCTTGCGTAATAGTTGTTTTTAACGTTGACGAGCAACTGACAAAATTATTCATCGCTTATAAATAATAAATACACAAAACAATATACAAAAATACAATTACAATAAATACACAAAAAACAATACTGTTTCTCGTTATATTTTCACTTTTCTACGCAAACAGTTTTAATTGAAAACTACGGACAAATATTTTGTTTTAAATAATTGCTTAAATTAAATTTTATTTTTTTTAGTTTTACAATTAAATTTATTTGTTGTAAAAAGTTTTAAACACTAAAAATCTTTATTTATAATATAGGCAACTAATAATACAATCTGTTTAAAAAAACTGTTTTCTTTATTGTACAGTGTTTCATGGGCAAATAACAACGAGGTAATTTTCTACTTCAAAGGAAAATAGTTTTCTATAAAACTAAAAAAAACGATCTTAGATAAGATGAGGCTAAAATAAATAAAACACTCATTCATTTTTCCAGTCAGTTTATTTAAAAAATTAATTTCCTTTCAAAAATTGATAAACCGAAGCAAAATCTTTATTCCCATATCCATTACAACTCAACGCCCTGTATATTTGATGTGCAGCAGCAGTCAATGGTACTGGGGCATTACACGAAAGAGCTACACCTTCGGCCAATCCCAAATCCTTAGCCACCAAATTAACAGCAAAACCCCCTTTGTAATCATTGCTTGGCGGAATTTTCTCAATAAGACCAGGTACAGGGTTGTAAGTCTGCGACGACCAACTTCTTCCCGTTGAAACGTTAATAATAGAAGCCAATGTTTTGGGATCCAATCCCATCTTAATGCCCAAATTCATTCCTTCGCAAGTACCAATCATGGTAATAGCTAAAATAAGATTGTTGCATAACTTGGCGATTTGGCCTGCTCCTGAGTTGCCACAATGGAGCACATTGGCCCCCATTTTCATTAAAATTGGCTCCACGGTGCTGAGCACTTGTTTATCGCCCCCTACCATAAAGGTGAGAGTTCCGGCTTCGGCCCCCGTGACTCCTCCGGAGACGGGAGCGTCGAGGAACTTGAAACCGGCAGAATAAGTCGCTTTGGAGACTTCTTGGGCAACCTGAGGCTGGATTGTTGAACAGTCAATTAGAAGAGATCCTTTAGTTGCGTGTTTGAGGATGCCTTTATCGCCTAAAACGGTGTCTTTGACGATATCGCCGTTAGGTAGCATGGTTATGATGACAGACGCGTCTTTCACGGCTTCTTCTTGGGTGTTGCAAACTTGGGCACCAGGAACTGATTTGGCGTTGGATGGGGTGAGGTCAAACACGCGGACGGTTTCGCCTTTTTTGACCAGATTGTTGGCCATTCGGGACCCCATGTTGCCTATGCCAATGAAGGCCAAAGTGCTGGCATTTCTTTCTGTACAATTCGAAAATAATATTAATAAACACAGGTGTTGAGAAATCGTATAGATCATAACTAATTGATAATAAATTAATTATTATTTTTCATTTTTTGCTACGGTTTATATTTTTTAAATAAACAAAACCTTAGTAAAAAAGTAGGCAAAACTTAGCAAAACAAGCAGAAATAAGTCTAATTCTGCAATTTTCGTTATCATACATAAAAAGAAAGAAAAGAAAGAATGTTCGGAAAGTGATGAACTTTAAGTAGTAAAATAAAAAGTAAAATAAGATTAAAACAAACTTGACGAAAAATTCTTTTTATTCAAGTATGTATAATTTCTTTTTTAATTTTAACAAACTGTAACTTCTAATAAAAAACTTAGTATAAAATGCAACACAAAATACATTATTCTTACATGTATGGATATGTGGAATGTAAAAGTCATCAGCTCACGTGAATCAGCCTGTATATAAAGTTTCAAACATTTAGGAATACTGCATAAAAATAAAATGATATAAATCTAAAATATATATCTTCGGACTCTATTTTTGCATGTTGCAACATCATTTTTAAGGTTTCATTAATTATGCTTATACGAGATCTTAAAAGTAATTTTGAAGGATACACAGGTTTCCTCTAATTTAACTGATATTAAATATCCATTGATCCATTGTCGTGAAGTAATTAAAAAAAAATGTGTTTAAAAATCTCAAGTAAAACACAGCGTGCGAGTGAATTAAATTTAGATTAAATTAAATATCCTTAATTCAGAGTAAATAAATAATTGTGGGCTAAATAATGTGCAAGTGTTTTATAAATTGTAAAAAATTATTAAAAAATGACGTAATAGTTATTTGTATTACAATGAAGGAAAGGGTATCATTTCTTTTGATTTCCCAGTTCTGTCATTAAATGCAGCATGTTTTTTTCATTTCTATGAGAGAGGTACCTCTCTGTCATTGGCTACTCTGCTTTCTGAAGGGTGGATAAGCTTACTTTTTGTTAGGGTCGTAAGAAAAATTATTAAATAACACATTATTTTATAAATGTAAGTCAAAAATACATAAATTTGTTTTTTTTTAATTAATAGATTTTATTTTAACTATTATTTGTAAATTGTGATAGAAGAAATTCCTAAGGCGTCAATGATACAGATAGTGGTTCAGATCATAATTAAAAGCAAATATAAATTAAGAAAACGTTGGTTATGAAAGGTTTATCAACTTTTAAAGTTAACACATACAATGTTTCAAAAATTATTGAAAAAAATCTAAGTACCCTAGTTTCACTACTACCAATCTTCCACCGTTTATTATTAAAAAATGATTAGCTTTTTTGATAAGGTTTTGTACATTATAATTATTGCAATTTTGCCTCTCTATAAGGTTGTATGTCTTTAGTTATTTCTGATACTTTCTACGTTGCAAGAATAGTTAAATACAGAGCGAGACGAAAATTGATTTTACTGTTGGAATTTGGCTTGTTCATTCATTTATGTAAATCCCTTATCCTAGTAAGTGAAATTCACTTATCATTTTTGGTTAAATAGAGATATCTTCTTCTATATTATTCAACTAAATTAATAGAAAATCGTCATAACAGTTAGCAAATCGTTAGTGGTAATTTCGTAATTAAATTTTACAAAATTGCTTGTTAATGACCTTTATTTAGCAAGATATTTAAATGCCCTGGTAATAACTGGTTGCTTACTGACCTCTACTATTTTGTTTTTTATAACATGATAAGTTTAAATAAATAATGAAGGTATTTACTTCATCTATTGTACGTTAAGATAAAAGCCAACACTGAGATAAGTTTAATTCTGTAGTATTAACGGATGAAGCCGTTATACATAATGCTCAAAAATAAAAAAAGCAACATATGCATTATCGTTTTTGACCTTATTTTACATGTTAGAAATAAATGTATACCTACATACATTTATTACTTAATTTATTGTTTCATGAGTCCAAATTAAATTTGATTTGATTAATTAAAGTTATCAATGACGTCAGTAATTTTGTATTCCAATTTATGCAATAGTAAAAAGACCTTCAAGTAGGTAGGTATGTATAGGATACACACAACTGACCGGTTTGAATACTTGTTGCTGGTCACAAACCCCGGTTTAGCTGCACTAATTTTGTAACTACAAAATAATGCCTTCTTCATATCGCCCTCTTCAAAATCTATTATGTGATAACGCTGACATAATAATTTAATCTGTTATTGATGGGTTTAATTATAAAAACATTTTAATCGATAATATGAGGCTTTGTGGCCTAATAAAAACAACCATTGCAATAATAATTATTATTACACTTTATTAATTTATTTTCACTCACATTTTTTAAAACGTGAAACTGAGTATTATGTAATTTCTATCCAAAATGAAAAAAGTGTATTTTTTACAAAGAAAACAGATAATTGGATTTTTAATTAACTTATAAACGAGAATACGTAGTTATATACAATTTCATGCAATAAGTAGGTACTCACTTTGGTTTTCATGTTTGTTAATTTTATAAACTAATCTAACAACTCCACGGACAAACATGTTTACAACTAAACGAATTAACGAAGACTGATCAAAACACCAAAAGTACTTGTGTAAATGTAAAATAATCATTCGATGATCTTTTATGTATTGTTCTGTATGATTGGTTGTCTATCCACAAGGTAAAATACAAGAATTTATTGGTGGTCTACATCAACATTTATTAAAAGAAATAAAAATAAGCCTGTAAAATAAATAAATAAATGTTTTGTAGTTTAAATTAATAAACTTAATAATATAAAAATTTCAAACACAATTTTATGTATAAAAATATGTAAATTAATTTAAACCTAAAAAATAGCATATTATTAAGTAAGTGTCATCTCACTCAACTTTGAAAAACTCGAATTTCTGCTTGATTGATAAAAAAATTTGTTGTGCTTGATTTACCGGAAGTTATCATTCTTTTCTGTTTTAACTTCTGTAAAATTACTTTTTTTTTTCTCTCATGTTCTACAAGATTTATAATAAAGACCCTAACCGATTTTCAAACATCACCCGAAATACATTCTCACAGACAACTTCGCTTTTAAAATGATTGAAAACTTTATAGATTATTAAATTTAGGTAAATCAAAGTAATTGCTGTAATCTCATTCTTATTCATGATACCGCCAAGTGTCAATTCCATTTTTTTTTAATTCAAAATGTACTCAAATGACGAAAAAACTGACATGATCCTGACATTTAAAGAATGCCATAAAAATGCTGTGGTACAGATTCACCGTAGGACGCCAATTTATTCAGGTCTACCACAAATAATAATGAGTCTGAAAAAATGTTTGAAGCAATTACATTTTAAAGATAACGCAGATATTAAAATATCTGTTTTTAATTAATTAAACATAGTGATCGTATTTTTATTTTTGACTAAGTTTATACTCGGAGCCTGTCTATTCGAATATCCAAATGTGCAAGTTTGCGAAGCGTTTTTTTAAATATTCTCTATAAATGATAAATAAATCTATAAATCATGTCGGTTTTTTCGTCATTGCTAAATATTTTAGTAGTTTATACCAAATAATTTCAATATCCACGTTACCTTTGAAATGTAATAAAAATTTCAAACAGTTTATAAATTAATTTAAGAATGTATTTTGGGTAAGGGTCGTTATAATACCTCAAATGTTTTTTTATAGAGAAATTACTTTTTTCATTTTTACATTAAGACAATGATTTGACAACACTGTTACTAAAGTTAGCAACCAGCAACATTGACAAAAATTGAAGAAATGAAACCTTTTGGTGCCGATTTTTAACTATTTACTGACGACTTTATGAGTTTTATTTTAAAATATATGTTTATTTTATTTAATAAGCTGTGGAGTTTTCTCATATTTGCTTGATTTCTTAAACATTTTAAGAACTACACGATAATTCAACAATTTTATCTGATAAACACACGCGACATGTTTTTATAATTGCGTATGAACTAAAAACAAAAATAAAATTTAAAATTCTTTAAACTTAAAAACAATTTAAGATGACCATAACAAACTTGTGTTAAAGTAAATCTTTCAATCTTTCTGAAAAATAAAGATACTTTTGATTAATTAATTTTTTTTTACTGAAACTATGTATACAATACAGGGTGATTCACCTTAAATAACCCACTTGACCCCTCTTGGCAGACAACCCATAATACACAAAGCAATTATTCCTTGATTCATATTAGAATTTTGAAAGTTTCATGAATCAAAGTTTGCTGTTCGAAAAATATCGGAAGTGTCACTGTCATACGCACCTGCAACAATACATTTCAATCAATGTCAATTTTTCGAATAAACGCAATTTTATTTTATAGAAAAGAAAAAGATAAATCAAAAATTAATTATTTCATAGTCGATGCTCTATCTGGTCACCCGCACTGTGCTCACAAGTCACGATTCTATTCACAAAACACAAAATCAAACATCACTAAACACAACATTATTAATACAGTCTGGATTATTTTCTAATTGTTCCCAAACAAAATAACAAAAATTTAATCTACGAGAGAAGTCAGCATCTCGTAGTTCTTGCACTAACTGCATGCGATAGGGATGAAATTTATTAGTTTTTAAAATCCTAGAAACAGAAGATTGGCTTATTCCCACTTCTCTTGCAATTGCTCATTGCCCAATATACCGATTTTGTTCAACAGTCTCCAACACCAGAGTTTTCTTCTCTAAACTAGTCGCAGTTCGTATACTTCTACGCTTACTTGCAGGCCAATTGTGACACAAACACATTTCCACTCGTTTAAAAATTTTATGCGTGCTCGTTCTGGATATTGCCGAGCGTTTGAAACGGCGGCTACATTTTTACCAGATGCGAGATAAGTTAATATCATATCATTTTTTTCATTATTTGTAAATGAATATCTCGGCATTTTTGAAATTTTGAGACGTCGTCTGCGTTGACGTTTCATTTGACGCTTTGAAATATTTACTTGTCAAATGGACGACACATTCTTTGATTCTCAATATTTTGAAAATTTAATTTTGAATCAAGGAATAAGTGCATAATGTATTATGGGTTGTCTGCCAAGAGGGGTCAGGTGGGTCATTTAAGCTGAATCACCCTTTATAGTTAGGTGGTCTTTAAAGTGTAAGAAGATAAATGCTAGTCTGATTTTGCATTGTTAGCAACTTGTAGACCAAAAGTGCAAAAAAATATAATGAACAATTTTTTCTGTGATTTTATGGAACATATATAAATTATGGTGCATGTTTTACATTCAATCCTATAACACATTTAATTATTTAATTTTTGGAAACCCATGACAGTGGTTGTCAAACTAATCACTGTGTCATTAATACTCATAAATTGCAATTTTTCAGAAACAATTATCATTTGTTCTATTAAGAGACGGCATGAATATGATTCTAGTATATTTATCTTAATCACTAACTAACTAAAAATGTTGTAATTTTTGAAAGGGTGAACAAACTAGAGCAGAATTATCCAATTTTTCAAAATTTATAATCGAGTTCGTATCGGAATACGAGTATGTATTATTAATTGCATCTTACAGGCGCAGGCCTCGTAAAATTATGTGAAACACCCTGTATGTACTTACTACAAATAAAAACACTGTATTTAGATTAAAATTTTTATTTCAACTAAATTTTAATGTGACATTTCAAAAATGTGACAGTGTGACTTACGCTCTTTTTGATTACAGCGTTTTATTAGTAACCATTAATTAAGTTATAACGGATGTTTATTTAAATTTGGCGTTATAGTTGGCGGTGATATGAGTGTGTTACAATTTTTAATACGCCCGGCGATATGTCAAATGTCAGATTAATAACTTTCAAAACGATGGTTGAATGGTTCGTTCAGAAGCAAACTTTCATGAATAGCTTTGAACCCAAATTTAAAAAATCACCCGTTACATATTTTAACTCTCAAAGCAAATAAATTCTCTATGCAAAACAAATGTCAAAAACGCTTGCAATTAAATCAATATAATAATAATTTATGTTGTTTTACCCTTAATAAAAGTAAAACAACAGCCTCATTTTTTACATATGTTTACATATTTTTCAACAAAGAATATACAGGGTGCCTGTTTTTTAAGCTCCACATGGAGATTTTAGTTATTACAAGAAATACGAGGTCGGTTAAATTAGGGCAAAGTTGCGCATTTTTATCCTAATAATTATATGGAAAAAAAATTGATGAGTCAAAGCGTTCTTAATGTCAGAATTACAACACTCAAATTTGGTTTTTCATGTGGGCGCCATATTGAATTTTTGCATTTTTAAAAAGTCTTTTTTTCTGACTACAACAATGTATTGCTTGAAAAAATAAAAACAAAAATAACAAATTTCTGTTTTTTTTCACTAATTCAAAAACTAAAAATAACACATTACATTTTCTTTCAGATAATTGATCAGCATAAAAATGCTCAACTTTGCCCTAATTTAACAGACCTCGTATTTCTTATAATAATTCAGACCCCATGGTGGAGCAGACACCCTGTATACGCCAAACCAAAGTCGCATGTTTTCTATAAGAAAAAATATTTCTCTAATATACAGAGCTTGTCAGAACTCGCGACACAGAGAAAAATTTCAAGTAAGATAAGATACCAGAAACATGGAAAAAATGTTTAAAAATTCTATCCGTCAAAAATGACACTTATTTTTTGACATTTGACATTTTTTTATGGCTTTTATGTTTGTATCTTTATTAAATAATTATAAAAAAACATATACAAAATTATCAGTATCATTAAATAAAGCCACAAATAACATTAAACAGAGTTACAATTTAGGATACAGCTTCCTCGTTTTGTTTTCTAACAGACTGTAGAAAAAAACTTGGAAAATTATTTTTCCAACAAAAATAAATAAAGTACAAAATTTAAATTTAGAATTTTTTGTACAGTAGGTCCCGAATTGAGTTTACAAGAGGAAAAAATTTTTTATCTTTGATTTTACGCCAAAACTGCAAAAGAAAAACATTTTTTGCTACAACACCTGAAACGAGCAAATCTGTACTTAAATTCTAATTCTACTTATTCTAATTCAGTGAAAAGAAAAGTTACTTTTTCTATTTATTTTCGATTTTTTTTCTCTGCTTTTTAGTCCTATCACATTGGCGGTTTTATTTATTTGACAACTATATGTCACTTTGACAATTAATTTATTAATTAAATAATGATAGTTCTTGTTAAAAATGACTTTGGTTTTTATTTTAAAGCTGTTTGTTTGAGTTCCTATTTATTAAAATGATGTTTTTTTTTTCACAAACATTTTTGTTATTTAATTTGCGTAAACTCATTTGTCAAAGTGATATCATTGTCAAAGTAATAAAACCGCCAATATGATAGGACATAAAAAGCAGAGAAAAAAAAGTACAAAATCAAGAGAAAAATGAATATTTTTTTCTACTGAGTGAATGAAGTTTTAATTACAGATTTGCTCGTTTCAGGTAAAGCAAAAAATGTTTTTATCCCCAGTCACTCTATAAAGAGACTTTATTCTTCGACACTGTCAAAATTTTCGGTTTTTCTCCCGTGTAAGGAAGTTTTGACAACTGTTTGGCATTTTTCAATACAAAACGTCAAATTATTTTTAACAGATTTAAAGCAAGTTTAAGCCTTGTTGACTCTAATTCGAAGAATAAAATGTTGTATTCCACTCGTTTAAGTGTAAATCGGACGCTTTATTCCACCTCGTGGATGGTAAACCACTCGTTACACTCGTGGTTTAAAAATCCACTCGGTCAAATAAAGAGTCCGATTTACACTCAAACTCGTCGAATAAATAACTATTATTCCGCTGTTAGTAACCAGCGCACCGCGTTTAAATGTCAGTTTAATTTTTAATTAAGTTTGGAATAATTTGGGCCTGTGATTGTATATAAAACGTTATATTGCAGTCGTGTGTTAGTTGCGTTTTATCCACTTAAGAAAATTAAACATCTTGTGTGGATAAAACGCTACCTAACACACTCTTACAATAAATAACTAGTCCTTTGATGTTTTGGTGTATAATCAAAGATAATTTTTTTTCCTCTTGTAAACTCAATCCGAGGACATACTGTAGATAGAATATTTTTAACATTTTTCCATGCTCCTGGTATCTTACCTTACACTGCATTTTTTCTAAGGCGCAAGTTCTGGCGCACTCTGTATGTATGCATAAAAAATAGATTGCAATCATCTGGTCAAATTTATATTAATGATTGTAATAATGGTGGATGCGCCGGTTTCAAATATCAATAATTTCATTTCTCCTAACGTTGATTCACTTTCCTCGTAAGGTTGCCGTCACCTTTTTGCAAAAAATAAACTAATTTTATACCAAATGAATTTTATCATTGTACAAATAAAGAACTAAGTAAGCAGTCTTGGTAATGTAAGCCCTGGATTATAATTGAGAAATTTCAATATCATGTGATAAAAATTTGTTGTAGCCATATTTATAAATAATACTACCAATTATTACGATTTATTTGTGTTTTATTACCGGCAAAATCATGAATGTGATTGAATTCCACGTCGACACCTGCCGTTTATTAAACCGATTTCTTCGTATCTCGAAAAATGTTTACTTCCAAGATAACAATGGTGTTGAAATTAATATTAATATTTACACACAGCTAAAAGATTCCTGATGTAGAATCATTACTCCACAATTATTATCTTTAAAGGCATCATAAATAATTTTGACAAAATTACACATAATATGCATTCAAAAACAAATAAAGCACTTAATGTCTATTTGTCGACTAATTTAGAAACAAAATTAGACAAAATTGTGTATTTTTGCATTGGTGAGAAATAATCCGAAATTAACCCAATTTTCATAATTCCTCACATTTGTTTGTTACTTAGAAAATTACTGTATGTAAATAGTCTACTTTAAACTATAGCAATATATTTCCCCACCACAGGTGTTAATGATAAGGAGTGACGTCAGTACGTAATGCTATATATACAAGAGAGCTACGTGTCAAGTACCTACAGGTGCTACTCCCACGAAGACGATCCTCACGTGGTGCCCGAAACTCCAAACTTCATCACCTTGGTATGTACCATCATTTTTAATTATTGTTCCAATCAGGATTAATCAGATTTGAATTTTCTTATGTGTTATCGACAAAAATCGTGATTATTTTTCATAATAACAGACCATTTCGAAATAAAACGAAACCCGCTAATTGTAATAATGAAAATGACATTCTTTTGTACAATCGAATAGAAACTTTCTCGTTAAAATCTGCGTCTCAAAAGATATTTTTTCTAATAATAAATCTTTAGAAGCATAAGTCATAAACCGCAACAAACAATAAAGATTTCTAATGTTTTTGTTGCAAATAATATTGTAAAATTTATTATAAAAGCGTTGGTAATAATGAGGTTACGAGCAAGTATTTCTTATCAAATGCAAACATTGATAGTGTTATCACATCTATTGTGGTAAATATTAGTTACAGGTATTTTTGAACAGGAGTCACTCCCCAATTTCACAATATTGGATAGATAAATGCCGTAATTAAAAAAAAATATTTGCACAAAGTGTGAAATAATTCCATCGGTTTAAAATACGACGTCTTAATTAGTTTATGACTGTATTGTTGCAGCAACACCAAATAATCTATTATCTCAGGTAAATATTTGTGGCAACCATGAACCACTTTATCACTTGTTATTTACATTTGAGATACAATAAACAGCTCCTATTTTTTTAATATTTTTTTTATAATTGTGTCTCGTCAGTTTAAAACAGGTCTTGGTGTTAATCAAAAGAGTCAATAGATGCAGGTGAAAATCGGTTGGAATTATGCTGGTATAGAGGCGGTGGAGGATTAGCATAGAAACTGATGGACGGCGTTGAAGGTTTCCCTAGCGATGACGACATTGTTTAATGTTACATTTTTGATAAGTCTATTTTTGTAAGTTCGATGATAAATTATGTTTCAGATAAAGGTTCAAGATATCACGGGATATGTTATGCAATTCGAAAATGAAGAGAGCTATCCGTCGACAGTATATAATTTACACTGTCATGGAGTTGCTCTCTTTATGAACGGATTCAGAAACGACGAGGGAGTAGTGTTAGAATAAGCGATGGGACAAGATTTGATTATTTTGAAAAAAATTGCAAAATTGAAACTGACAGGAAATGTATGATTTTGTGCTCAAAAAAACATTCTGGAAAATGCACTATCCACTGTTTTGATTTTAAGTATGTACCATGTTTTTAATTAAATTTTAAATTAAAATCTAATGTAACTTTAAAATTAAGTTCATAATCTTAAATATTAGAGACAGAAGATATAAAACTTGTCAATTTTCATCTCCTATCTCTACATTATTCAAAGTTGCCAACTTAGTTTCAAAGTCACAGGCCATTTAGATCAGAAATTTAAAATAGTTACAAAGATCACTTCAAATTGATGTAAGTTGTAGTTGAATTTACTAAAAATACTTTATTTATTTGTATGTAATAGAAAAAAGTATCCTTTTTTGTACCAATACCCGTGTGTGTACGTTTGTAGTATAGTGGCCATAAGTTTTAGAAATACATTCAAATTTTTTCAACGTGCAGTAAAAATTTCTTGCTTACTAGATTTTTTTTTGAAAACATTTTTTATTTGTGTTCAATTAGTAGACAGTTTCATAGTTATAACTTAGAGCGAGTGTTTATCTTAATTTGGCGTTATATGCCCGGTGAGGCGTCAAATGTCAGATTAATAAACTTTGCCGCCAAATTTAAAAAAACACCCGTTAGAATTGTTATAATTAAAAAATCTTATCTAAACACTAGGTATACTTAGCACTTTTTAACAGCTTAGACGTATTGCACCTGTATAAAATTGTGAAAGTGTAGTATTAAATTATTGGCTTTTTATCAAGTGTATTATCAAACTTGGAATTTCCATTTCAGTCTAAAATTCTCTATAATGAGTACCAAGTATTTATCAGCACTATATTTTTTTTAGATAAAATTAATTGTTTAAAATTTATATAAAAACAATGTTCTCGTAGATATAGAGGCGGGGTTTACGGTCTTGAAATTTAAAGTGGATGATTGAAATTTAAAGTGGTAGAAAAAATCTACATAATACGCTGTATAACATAAAAATTTACGTTATGAAAATAATTACTTTATGTTATTTGTTTGAGAACTGCTGCTTCGGCTGCAACAATGGCCATTTGTATTATTACCTTGTGTTTCGCCGTAAATCATAATTAAGACAACAAATTTATTATTTTAATATTTGCAATACATGTCAGTAAATTTAGAAAAAAATCAAGAAAAACAAATCAAACTATTAGTAATGATTAGTAACCATTTTGTTACAAGTGATTAAACAAAAGATTTTTGCAATTTGATAAAAACTAAGGCAAAAGCAAATCAAATAATGACCGTGTCAAAAACTCAAAACTACAAAGTAATCCACCATGAATGAATCTGTTGGTAATCCTGACTCTAATTTTTAAAGCTTACCATTGGATTGCGCTTTTGATTAATAACAATTCAACAATCTTGAAGGATTGTACATCAAGTATTTGTCAAGCAAAATCGTATAAATTATTATTAACAAAAATACTTTCAAATCTGTCATCAACAGACTCAGTCTTTCTGGATCACTTCGTGTAAACCACAGCTATAAAGTGACTTTTCGCTTTCGTTGTCGTGAATACGATTTTCTTTTTTATGTTAATAAATAAATAACTCTAGTGACTCCCAAACTTTGTAAGTTTGTACATACCAATATTTTGGAGTTAAACATCATTTTTGATAATAGCAATTCTAAGAGTTTTTTTTTCAGTTATCTTATTTCTGTACCCTCCTATTACCAGATTAATTTTCAACTTCAAGACCGTAAACACCCTGAATGGTGTACTATAAGTAGTGTAGTTATTCACAATAATTAAAAGCTAAACAAATAAAGCTTAATTTGATTTTTGAATGCATGTGCACAAAATATTATTTTACATTTATTACATTTATTTTTCACAATCAGTATTATGTAAATACTAAATAGTACCATCAAAAAATCAAGTATAGGTTGATGATATTTGATATGAGATAATGTGACTTGTAATAATTATCGTATCTACCTACAAATTGTTTAAACTGTGCCGAAATTTTATACCCTTTCAATAGTTTCAATAAAAAATATAACACAAAACAAAATTAAATTAAATATCATCTAATAAGAAAAATATTTCTTAGTTAAAACTTTAAACCATCGCCATCTCGATAGAAATAATCCATAATTATATTGATACATTTCATTAAGAAGGCGGTGGATTAAACAGATTTATTGTAGTTTAAGCAATTTTATAATATAAAATTGAAAAATATCACTTCAATTCAGATTATAGTTCTTGTAGACTGATGGACAGTGAATTTCGTTTGCTCAATTTCCATGACAGAATAAAAGTGTAAATTAGTCTTTAGGTTTTTCTAACCTTGTTTCAGAATTTTGATTAACGTTTCTCATGTTATCAGAATGTTCGATGTTCCGTTGCAACTTTTTACTTGTGCTTTGTCTCACATTGCTTGGGATATAGTACAGCTACATTCAAAAAAAAACGGGAAATGTCAAAAAAAGTTAGAGGTTTTTTTTAATTTTTCCATGGTGTGAACATGTTTTATTAAAAATAAGTTAAAATATTTTGATGGCACTCTAAATTCTGCAGCTAAATTCATGATTTTCCTACAATTTCCAGATGAGCGACTGTTCTAGTTTTTTGTACTTCATTTAAATGCGGCATTACACAAGTTGGTATAAATTTTACGACATTGATAGAAATATTTTTGATAGATATTGTCAAGTTGACAATTAACCAGAACCGAATTTCCATTTGGAAAATTTTTCGTTTTTTTTTAATGTAGCTGTACCAATCCATTTTCAGGTTGAAAATCCGGAATAAGAATTTGATTAAATTTGTTAAATGTCAAAATTTTTTGGAAAAACTTTTTTTCCATGTTCTTGGTACCTTATCTCAGGTACTTGTCATTTTTCTTTGGTACGCAAGTTATAAACCATGCTGTATACGAAACGAATTATTTAATGACTCATCAATTTACTGTTCTACTGATGTTATTAAATTTTTATATTCTATGTACAATGACGAGCATTATATTTTCGTAGGCAATGTCATTTTGAAACTTCATCTTTTTTTCAAGAAAAAACCTGTGTAATTTTGTGTGTTGTCAACGATCTTTCAAAAATAAATATGTATAAATGTCAAAATATCACGTCAAGAGTTTATTTATTTAATTTTTAAACAAATATGCCGCCAATCTCTTATTTTTTTTCTTATGTTGGTAATAGTATATTACAAGCGAAGTGGTAAATATAGCATTACTTCGAGTGCTTATGTATACGATCGACAGGCGCCATCCTTGAGATCGGATAAAGCACAAGGGGTAATGCCATTACCATTGTATATATGCGATTTTATTCACAATCACATTATTTTCAGTAAAAAAATTGAGCAAAATAAAATTCTAACAAAGTTAAGGTCCAAACGTGGTAGGCTAAATTGCGTTTGATTTTTGACATTTCAAAAATGTCAAAGAAAATATTGAAATAATGTGAAATCATGTGTGAATCTGATTCAAAATCGTTGAAATGGAGCAGTGTACTCCCCCAGAAGTAAGAGAAACTGCTACAGAAGCAACTGAATACTAATTTAGAAAAATATTATGCGTAACTTGACAATTTGAAAGAAAAAATTCCCGGTATTTTTGTAATCGTAACGTTGGCAAACCTGCATATTACTGCCGAAGAGAAGTAATATTATTACTCCTCATGAGATATAATAATGTGTATCCCAACCTTTAAAAGGTTAGTAATCGACATATTACATTAATGATTGTGAATAAAAATAATTATAGTGCTGCTGGAGAGAGGATTATCTGAATTTGAGGATTGGAAAAGAAGTTCAGTCATAGAACGAAAATGGAGAGAAACGGGATCGTTAGACAGAAAAGTGGATTCCCGACGTCTGCGAGCCTCAACAAAGCAAATAAATGACCAGGTACAAATTGAGGAATTTACATACACAATTTTTTAAAACTTATACCTACTCAAATGATGAATAATTAAAAATTCTCTTCGTTTTTGTAGTTCGTTGGTTTGTCTTCAAACTTGAGTTTAAAAAACGGCGTTTTTTTACTGTAACATACGATGATAACATCATTTTTTTATTGTTTTATTGATGTGTAAATGATGATTAGACGACATTCCAACACTATTGCTAACATTCCTACTTGTTATCAGTTACGTGAGAATTACAAAATTTTACTTTTTTAAATAATTTACAACAATCAACAAATATTTCAGTATTTTTTAAATTTTCAGTGATACCAATATTTTACAAAATAATATGGATTTTGCATTTTTTTACTGCCATCTCTAATTATTTATTTTCGTTCTAACCTCTTCTGTATTAATTACAGGCACCTGTAGTGTATTACTGTTCATTTGACAGATCATATAACCTCACAATCATAGACTCACAATTTTGTAACAAAATAAAGCTTGTATTTCCACTAAATATGTCGCGAAACAGGTAACATTATAACAAATATTCACTCAGTTTATAAACTACTCACTTTTTTAGCATAAAAATTTTGCCGAGTGCTTTAGTTTGCGAAGAATCAAAATTACGAGGTGACATTACCATAGGTGCTGGTACAATTATCCACCCAAGTGCTACAATTTTGGCTGAGGCTGGCCCCATAATTATTGGTGACTCTTGTCTAATAGAAGAGCAAGCGAGAATTATTCATCGGTAAACTTTTCTTGTTTATTTAGCCTTTTCGCAATTAACTAGTATTTCAGGTTACCATTTGAGCAACAAGGTACAGAAAACACCCCCGTGTTAATAATAGGCTCTCACAATGTGTTTGAAGTCGATTGTCACGTAGAGTCCCCAAAAATAGGAAGTTGCAATGTGTTTGAATCCAAATGTTATGTGGGCAATAAAGTTACTGTTACCAATGGTTGTACAGTTGGTGCTGGTTGTAAAATAACACAAGAACAAATTTTGAATGAAAATATTATTATTGTTGGGGAGAAATGTCATATGAGGGAAGGCCTGGATAGACCTGGAGTATGCTTAAATATGTGTATTTCTTAATTGCAATTTAATTTGATTTATTTTAGTTGCAGACTCTGCAAATGGAAACGCTTTCAAAAGTGTTGCCCAATTATCATCATATTAGAAAGCCAAATAAGAAGAATTAATTTATTCTTTGTATGTGTTAGATAATTTTTTGTACTATCATCAATTTATTATCGTTAATTTTGTTACTTCTGCACTTAATTGGGATAATTTTTCATTTTTGTAATACTGTTTGAGATTATGATTTCTGAATATCGTAATACAAGTTTTTAATAAACAGATTCTTGTATTGCTGTTGTACAATAGGAGAAAATCGATAAATAGGAGTCAAAGGAATGGGGAAAATATTTTATAAATGCATATTTACAATAAACGTCCTGATTTTTCCCCACATCTGCTTAATTATCCCCACATCAGTGTTTAAAAATAAGTTTTAAACAAGGGTAAAAAAATGAAATGAGTGTATAACTGGTTGTATATATAAACAGTGGGGGCCGCTATGAGAAATTGAATTGTAATTTATTGACAGTAAAAACTTTATTAAAAAACTGTATTTTTGCTTTACTAGATAACATTTTACGTCCTTTCTACGTTTTCGTATGTGAAAATAGTGTAACATGAAATAAATCGCTTCTAGTATTTTTATCGGTAAAAATCGCGTTTACATTTCCTTTGTGCACTCTCCGACGTCGTTGCAATATTAAAATGCAATAAATTAAAATTCGTGTTGTGCTCGCCATTAATCAGCTTTCAAAATTCGAAGACCGCGTCATGAATTGATTGTAAACCGTTTATTTATTCATCTTATCACCGCTAATAAATAAAATCTCCCTTTTTTCGTGGGAAGCCAAATTCGCAAGGTGAAAAACCTTGGAATTTTAGTAAATTTCTCAATTAAATCACGTCCGCTTGAGTAGAATCATCATTTATTACTTATTTTTAAAAGCGTCGTCGTATTGGATTGTCAGTTTTTCGCGTCAGTTCACACAAGCGGCGACTCAAAGTGTTGTCTTCTCATCCGTAACTCCCGGAGCCGCCGTTTCGTCACATGTGTGCTCGAATATTCCACTAACTACTCTGATTTATAAGTCTACATTCTATGCAAGCGCAGACAAATGAGACAATTTATGAATGTTTCCAGTAACTAACCGTAACATAGTGGATCATCATAGACTTGAGCGACTTCGACGAGCAAGTAAAGTGGGGCCCACCCTCTAAGAAATAATGATGTAAAGTCGCGATTATTTGTTAAACTTTTGATAACTGCAAGCTTTATTACAAATTTTTGCTCAAAAACCGAACAAACTTATAAGTAATAGGTATTTATATAATTAATACAAAATTTGGATCTAATCTATAATTATGTTGTCACGACTCAGGGTAATTAAAATCCGAAGCGCACTATTTTTGAGGAATAATTTCTTACCTTAATCATACATAACTACTTAGTAAGAGGTTCGAATGTGATTTTGGGAGCTTTAATAAAAAAATGTTGTTTATATTATGAACCTAAAAAGTTTTTAAGGACTCATTTGCTACTTCAAACTCGGCTTCGCCTCGTCCGGCAACAGTAACGAATCGTTCGCAGAAACTGTATTTGTAAAAGACTAGTACAACTATGATGAAAACTCAAAAAAACCTTCCTTTCTTAAGATCTAAATTGCAAAAGTGCTGAAAATATTTCTTATACAGGTTGCGCCAGAACTCGCGCCCCAGAGAAAAATGTCAAGTGCCGGCGGCAATGGGTCACCACAAAGTGCAGCCGAAAAAGTAACTTTTGTTTGCATAAGAAAGTTATTAGACCCTTAATTCCGCCAATCCCAGAAGGGCACCTCAGGGTGGGATTGAGAAATTATATCTGTTGCTGGGTTACAAAAATAATACCTACCAATTTGCCTAGAATCTTCAATAAATAGTTGGTCTACTGTAATTTTCACATCTGTCATGTGTTGACATAACACGCTATTTTGGAATATTTTTCTCCCCGAAGAGGTTGTACACGAGTGTAATGGTTTGAATTTGTGTTAGATGTCAATTTTGTGGTTTGAGTTAATAAGTTTTAACCATGTAATTAGCCGCTGATTATTTGGAGATAATAACCATTTTGGAAAGTGTTGTCGTAACGCTAGGGAGGCAGCTAGGATATTTTCCGAACGTTTTTCTGACAGAAATCGCCCATGCTATAAGGTCACATTGAGGGCCATTGCCAGGGTGCAAGAGCAGTCAAGTCCTACCAGACCGAAAAGAAATTAGAGGTGTTCCCAGAACGGCGCGCATAGTTGAAAATGAAGAAGCTTTTCTTGATTTTTTAAGATGGCACTAAGTAGATGCATCAGAGAAGTTGTAGTCATTATAACTGACATACTCGTATTAGGGCAGAGGAAATTTCAAATGCTTTTTTTCCGGGAGCATTTCAGCAATGATTTTCAGTAAATTTGTGGACTGTTGAGGAATATCAACTAATTTCAATATCAATATTGCAATACTCTTGTGGATTGTTTAATGACAAAGAAAGCAAGGGGTTTTAGTGCAATGTGTGTTTTTAGGTTACAATTACACTACCGAACAAAAGTACCTTGGTAAATCTACAGTTATGACAGTAAAAATTATCCTAACCTGTTTTGTTCAAGCACAAATTCTTATAAAAAGTACATTTTTCTGTTAGTTTTGCAATAAAGAAACTGGCGTACATTTTTCTGTTAGTTTTGCAATAAAGTAAAGAAACTGGCGTACATTTTTGTCTTTCTGGTTAATCTAACTCAATACAATTTTCCAATCACACCCTGAGGTGCCCTTCTGGGATTGGTGGAATTAAGAGTCTCTCAACTTTCTTATGCAAGCAAAAGTTACTTCTTCAGCTGCACTTTTTGGCGACCCATTGCCGCCGGCATTTGACATTTTTCTCTGGGGCGCGAGTTCTGGCGCACCCTGTATTTATTTTTATTTGTACCTTATGTAAATTGTTATAAAGATTCACAATGATATAAAAAATATTTTTTCATTAAATCACTAGTTTCTTAATAATAGTTTGATAACTGATACAAAAATAAAAAGAAATAAAAAACAATAAAAACAAGTGTTTTTTGTCAAATATTTATCCTCGTTTTTTTAACTTAACACAAAAATTATTATTATTTTTATTTGGATTTAGTTAAAGAGTAAAAGAGTTTCCTGTCTCTGACAATAAATAAAATAAATAAAAATTTTTGCAATTATTAAAATTACAATTGTGTTTCTTGTGTTTTCTTAACAAATTTGACAATAACACAAATAGCGATTTTATGAAATTGTCGATGCATCCGCTTAATTTAAGATATTTTCCCCACACATACAGTTACACCGTGTTCTAACAATAATGCCTTGGAAAAGGCGTAACCGTAGTCTGGAAAAGGGCCAATTTAAGCTCGCGCACTCGATCAATTTGCATAGGAAATTAACTTAATAGTATATCATTACGCTATAAACACCACGGAAGCACACAACTGACATTGTTCCGTTGCCTTCAGCATAAAACCACCATTTAATATTTAACATATTTACAGAAAGACGCTTTTTATGCACTAGTTACCTATCTTTTTATAAATTATAACCACTTTAAAAATTTCATACAACAAAACATGTGTCCGAAAATTACAGTCCGCTATTGTTGGAAAAGGAGTTAAACCACAAGCAGCCCCCGCATATTTGAGACCACTATTCTTAGATATCTCTCTCGTTTTCAGCTCATTTGAAATTGTGGACATTTTATAATTAAGAAGGCTCATCTGCTCCACTTTGAAGTTAATAGTTTTCAAGCTCAATTAATTGTAATTAACTAGTTTACGAATAAGTTGCTAAATTTATCACACCGACTAGTCTAATCGAAGGATTGTTAAATTAGTTCAGTTGGGAGGTACAAATCGTGCCCACATTGACATAATTAGATTTAAAAAAAGCAGCTTTTTACTTCGTTAATGACACTGCTAATCAAATAGTGTCAGACAAATTATAATTAGTGTCTACATGATGAGTATGAGACCGCCCCAGAAGAAGATATAAATATCTTTAACGCGCTGTTGAAACTTCTTGGCGATTAGCTGACACCCTCTCATAATTCAGAGATTTGAGACATTAAAAATAGTTTCAAAAAATTAACAATTTACCGAATTAAAAAAAAAACTCTATGGACAAAAAAATTAAACAGAAGAAAAATTAGGACTTTAATTTTAGTTCCACAAAAGTTACTAATGTGAACATTCTTTAGATCGCAATACGTCATAAAAATAACATTTAGGTATGTTGAGTTCTGTTTGAAAAAATAACAAATACAAAATTGGAAGATTGAGAATTGCATAGTGAAGAAACCGGTGAAATTTGAAGAAGATGGAAAGGAAGAACAGAATGTAAGGTACTGCAACAAAGTGGAAATGCCTCTAAAGAGAAGAATGTGCTGAGATATGTATAAAACGAGAATTTGATGTGCATACAGAACAGTAAAGAATGTGGAAATTAGGAGAGTGTAAGTTTATTTGATTGGAACCCGAAGAAAGGTGTAGGTAAGATCTGTGGGAAGGACAGCGAGATAATTGGACATTTACTGAATGGATGTGATATCCCTAATGAAGGAAAGCAGGATAAGCAAAAAACTATTATTAACTAGCAGTGGAAAAGTTACATTTTTTAAAATACAGGGCTGTTCGGAAAGTCGGGCACCTTCGTGGCACTGTATCTTCGTGCGGTGTCCTAGACAACAAGAAAAATGTTTAAAAAAATCTATCTACAGGCTGTATTATGAAAAACGCCCCAAGCCATAACTCCATTATTTTTAAACTTATGACAATACTTCTTAGAACAAAGTTGAACATTTTTTGTCATCTATCGTTTAGGATAGATGCTAAATTAATGCTGTTTTCTGTTTCACCGGAAATCACATCAACTTTATTTTTTTTAATGGAACATCCTGAATATTTTACCACTTTTGGATGCTTTGTTTAATTGTCTTTTAACAAGTTTTAGTACCAATTGCCTAAAACTAACCGTTCGTGAGATATTCACCAAATAATGTATTTATTAAAGTAGGCAGTGGAAAACAATAATATCAAGTAATGTTGACAAATATTATTCCTTTGCATTTTCTCTTACTGTTTTTATACTTTTTAATGTTAATCATGGATGATAATATGTTAACAGACATATTTTGAATAAAATAAAAATTATGGGAGAGCACTAAGCTTTTACACTGGGTGATTTCTGATAAGAGACGTTCCAAATCGTCGAAAATTTAAGCGACTTAAAGAAAATTTGAGGATGTTTTGGGCTTTTAAAAAACCCAAATTAAAACATCTCCAATTTCAAAGAGATACAGAATTAGATAGGTATTGAAGAAAATGCAAGAACATGAATTCAAG